GTTCAGGCTGGCCTTGAACTCAGGATGTAGCCCAAATTGGCCTTAAACTCATGGTAATCCTCCTGCCTCAGACTCCTGAGGCTGGGCTTACAGGCATGCACCACCACTCCTGGCTCTTGTCTCTTAACCATTTTTCAGTCTTAGTTCTGTAAGTAAACATACTTACAACTAGTCCCCTGTCAATGTATCTCTAGCTGTGTGTTGTTTGTTTGGTTTTTGCCTGAAGCTCTTCTCAACTAGATTCCTCAGGAAGGGCTTATGGAAAAGGCATTTCTGGAATGCTTAAATTTGAAAATAGTCTTTTTCCGCAGGTCAGCTTTGCTGGGTATAAAATTCCTGGCTCGTATGTTCTTGCCTTGATTATCTTAAATATTGTTTATCGCTTCTCGACCTTTTGGCTCAGATCAAGTGTATCTTAACTGTATTTTACCATTTTTTCTGCCATTAAGCATTGCTATTTCCCTTCCCCTGTTTTTATCTGTCTTTCTCTTTTCTTTACCTCTGCCTTCCCTGACTTCCTTCCTGGTAGCTTCTGTTCAGCCTGGAGGCTGTCCCAGAAGGAAGACCTGTTAGTCTTCTCAAGAATTCACAAGGGTTAAGCTCCTTTAACCCTTACACCATGAGTGTCTAAACTTTGGCTTGCCTGGGCCATGCTGAGTGAAGAAACACTGTACCGGGCTGCATATAAATATCATTAAGGATGAGTAACAAAACTTCCTTTTAAAAAGATATTTTATTATAACATTAAAATAAAATAACCTAAGTCCAAGTTTCATAATTAAATTGGAACATTTGCACATCTGCTTAATAACAGAAAGTGCCTGCCTTCACAGGTGTGCATATGTGTAGATGGGTTGAAATGCAGTCACTGTGTTTTACTCACCAAGAGGAATGGAGTACAGACAACATCTCACACGCACCAGATTCCACTGCACTGACAACACGGCAGGTGCAGGAGGTGGAGTCACAACTGTAAAGTATTTTCTCTGCAGTGTTTGCTCGTCACCTACATAGTCTACGTTCAAGCCCATATAACTGAGCACCAGTAAAAAGATCACATAATAATGTTAAAGGTTTCTGATCTTGTTGGCCTGCCTCACTCGATACCCTGTGCCACACGTGGCCCACAGGCAGCAGATTGGACACACCTCCCTTAGGCCGTTTGGCATAACCCTTGCACTCAGCCCTAACTGATTTTGGCAAATCCCTGCTTGATGTTAGCTGTTCTCAAACCGCCCCTACGCTTTCCTGTGATTACATGTTGCAATTTGACGTTCTCTACCTTTCGGATCGGTCATACTCCTCGCTAGGTCTCTTCTATTTCTACTGCACAGAGACAGCAATGGCAGGCAGGCCTTGCAGCTGTTGATCTGTCCGTGCCAGGTTTTGGTTTGTTTATTAAACGTTTTGGAGTCCATGAAGACACTCCGTCACCTAGTTTTGTTGTAAATGTCTTCGTGGGATTTTCTTTGTGCTTTTACAGGAGATTTGAGGAGATCCAAATCTACACCAAGAATTAATGCCTCTGTCCACTTAGAACCTTCTACTGCTCCCCTTTGAACGGATGGGGAAATGCATTCCGGGCTGTAATTTGCTAGCCACAGAGATGCACCCAAGCTTCCACACATGGTATGGAAAAGATGCCCCCTGCAGGCTCCTTCCTCCCTGCTTTGGCCAATGAGCGGCCCTGCAAGACTCTGTTATTGACAATTAAACAAGATTGTTCATGCAGAGAGATCAGCTCCTTGTCAGTGAAAAAGTGTTCAATAACTGGCACCTGAGTGCAGAATTTCATGGTGAAGACACCAAGGGTTAGAAGGGGAAATAACTGTCCCAAAGTAACACAACCGGTTAGTGACACAGTAGTGAGGAATTAGATGCAGGTCTGTCCGAACAGAAGCCCCAACTTTCTTCTCTAACTGTGGTCCTCAACTAGGGGTATTTAGCCCCCAGGGCACAATGGGCAGCACCTGGAGACACATGGCTGGTTTTCATGGAGACACACCTGGTTTTCATGGCTGTGGATGTGGAGTGCTACTGTTATTTACTAAGTAAAAGCAAGGCACACCATTAAATATTCTAGGGTGTTCAGGAAAATATCCTCCCCATAATAAAGACCTTTCCAGCCCCAGATGTCAGTTAATGCTCAGGTTGAGCAACTATGCTGTATACTGTGCTGCCGTCCTAAATTAGCCTCAGAATCACTGCTAAAGCTGAACCTAGGAAACTTGTCGAGCTCAATCGCACGCCCTGAAAACACACAGCTCAGGCATTTCCAGGATCCACCAGCATATACTCAATAGCAAGTTCTCACACTCTTCAAAGACTGTATGAATCTTAGGGAGAAGGAGCTTGAGCAGTTCAGACCGAAACACAAGGCAAATCGCTCTCTCGTGATGTTTCTTCCCAGAAGTGGGTTGATCAGAAGCCATAAACGGGCGTTTCCTGGTAACGCATCAGAATTGTACATCTGCCATTCTACTGAAGGCTCCTAAGGAGCCCCTAGACACGGGATATATCCCCACCCATCTTACACATAGGGAAACTATTCTTATCAAGTTGTTCATCTGTTACTTCTGAGTGTCCAAGGCAAAAAAGCAGACAGAAATTCAAATCTCTGCTCAGTTACTCAGTTGTCATGTGACTATGGGTGATTTCTTGTCCTTTCTTTGATCTTGTTTCCCAGCCTGTTAAAAAGCATGGGGCTGAGTGTTGGAGTCTTCAATAAATTCCTGTAAGATCTCAAAGGTAAAGTAAAATTTGGGATCATGATGTCACAGACTTGAATTCAAATTCCCCTCTTTCACTGAATATGTTGAACCCTTAGGCAAGTGACATCCTCTTTCTGGGTTTTCATGTCCTCTCTTGTAAATAAGACAGTCTTGTGGCTGGCTGTTGTAAGCATAACTGAGATCATACAAGCACAGTGCCTGCTGTATACAACTGCTCAGAAAGCAGAAACTCTTTTGCTTACCTGAGACACTTCCAGCTGTGAGATAACTCAGTTTTCCAAATGTATCACTAGGAACCAGAAGAAACGATAACCCTCAAAGCCAAGTTCTTCTTGCTGTCAGCATGTGGTACTGCAATCAGGGCTCTGTATGTCACCACAGGGCCTGGTCCAGGCTATGGAGAAGGCTTTATCTTAATACCTAGCACAGTATGGTTGGGACAAGATCATTCCTTGCCCTTTGCTAAAGGAGTTGCCATTTATTAAACATCTACTGCTGGCCTAGCAAAGGGAAGAGTTTCCTCTTAGGAACCCATTTAATAACCTCTTTGCCCAAGGATCCAGAGACTTTGGGAGTTTGAGTTACTCGGGCCAAAGTCAGACAACTGAGATTAAAATGACCAGATTTAGGGGCTCAGTGATAGAGCATTTGCCTGGTATATGAGAAACTCTGGGCTGAACCCCAGTATCTCAAAAGAAAGAAAGAAAGAGAGAGAGACAGAGAGACAGAGACAGAATTATTCTGACAGCCCAAATAATGCTCGCCTTCAAATGTCCTCATCGTAATCTCTGAGCTTTGTGAATATCTTACTTTATATGGTAAAAGGCATGTTGTAGATGTGAGAGATTATCTGGGTCAGGTGATGTAATTTCAAGAGCTCTTATAGGATACTAACAGGAGAATCACAGTCAGTAGCAGTTATGACAACAGAAGCAAGAGGTTAAAAAGAGTTTTAGGAAGGATCTATGAGCCTAAACATGTAAGTGGCCTCTACAAGCTGAAAAAGCCAAAGAATGAACTCTGAAAATCTCAGAAAGAATGCAACCTTGCTAACACCATGACTGTAGGATTCTGACCTGTAGACCTGTAGAACTGTAGGAGAATAAATTTTTAAATTTTTGTTGTCTCCATCCCCTAAATTTACAGTAATTTGTTGCACCAGCAGCAGAAAACTAATACTTTAAGGAAGAAAGATTAAATCAAGATGCCTATTTAAGGTGCACTTCAGAGAAATAATCATTAAAAATGTATATATTTCAAATCTTGCTTAAGATACATATTTAAAAAGAAACCATTGTTTATATGAAATTTAAACTGAACTGAACATTCTATATTTTTTTCAGGCAATCTTAGAAATGGTAAACACGACACCAGAAGTCAAAACTCACGGCTCCTAGGACACCCTCACACACCTGACTTACACACAATCTGGGAACTGCCAGAAAATATCGTTCCTGTGACCCTTCTGGATCACTTCTCAGCTCCTTGGGACTCCAATTTTCCCAAGGTAGAGAGATCATCCCTGTGGGTTTGAAGTTCTCCTGAGATAGGGATTCCAGAATCTCTCTGAAAATGGCCCAATGTCTTTGAAGGGAGGACCTAGGAGATTTGTCTCAAAGTTACAGTTGCACGAAATATATATGCAAGGCACTAAAGAACTAGGCGTGGAGTAGATTAGGTGTTCATCTTCTTCAAACTATCACCGTCTAACCCCAAAGCAGGAAACAATTAGTAAATGAGGGTCCAGAGTAGCAATTATGTTAGAGATAAAGAAACCGAGCCCCCGGAGGAATGGAGACCTGCCAAGGTTACTCGGCTCACGAGACTGATATACCCTGGTTGGCAATTTCTCCTTTGGAGCAGCCAGTGCTTCTGACAGCCGTGGTGGAGGAATTCTGCAATGCTGATCCTGAGATTTGAAGTCCCACTGCACTGATGGCCACTTTCTCTCGCAAGAAATAGGGAACTTGTACAAACATGAGGATGTAATGAGATAGGGAGACTGTACAAAGGTGCGAATTTAATGAGCTAACTGATGCGAAACACCAGGTACAGGCAATATATTCCTGGAAAACAGCCGCTTCTCCCCTCCCTTTTCAGGGTTTGTTTCCCCATATATAAGGAGAGCTTGACAAAAGATGTTCTTCCAAACTCCTATTCCTCCCAGCCAGACTGGGGTCCACAAAATGCGGAGAATGGCCGCCAGGTGGCGACAGAGCGCTGGCTACGCGGAGAGATATTACACATGCGTGGTCCAAGGCGGCGCCCCGCCTTCTCACGCCCCGACGTCACTTCCGGCGTGAAGGGCCGGGCTGGCCGGGCCGGGAGTGCGGGTCTTTTCTGTGTGCGCTGCCAGACTAGGCACCCGCCGCCGGTTGACCCGCGCTCCGCCCCGCAGCCGGGCCGGTGAGTGCCCACGAGCCTGTGCTTGCGCCCTGGGCCGAAAGAGGGACCTTGAGAGGGAAGGGCCACCGGAAGTGGGGGCCAGAGGAGCGGGAGACCCCAGGAAATGGGGACACCTGGGGAGGGGGCGACGACCGGAAGTAGGGGCCCTCGGAAGGTTGTCAGTGGGATGTGGGGGTCTCTGAAGCCCCGGGAGAGAGGGCTTCCCGGCATCTCGTTATTGGGGGGAGGTGGGGAGAAAGCTGATGTCTCACAAAATGATGGGCTGCAGGTGGGGAAGATTCCTGACTACACCCACCGTGGTGACAAATGATGTTCCCATCTGGCCATCTGTCCACCCGTCAGCTCAGTTACCACAGTGACTGGACCACACTGCTCCAGGTGGAGGGGACAGATTATGAGCCCAGGGTGGGGCTTGACACTTCCTGTCTGTCTGCCTCACTAGGTTTGTACCTTGGGCGCATCTCAACCTCCTCCTGTCTCTTACCCTGTTACTAAGAGCTGCCGTGGGCCAAGCACTGAGGGTATCAGTGGCCACCGCAGGCGGGTTCTCTGCCTTCGTGGAATTCACATTCTAGGGGACATTCTAGTTTCCTCCTTTGTAAAATGGAAACACCAAATATTGTGAAGATGAATGAGGATCTGTGGGTGTAGCACAGTGGTGATTTATCTGTTTAGCATGTCCAAGGCCCTGGGTTCTGTTCCCTGCTCTAGAAAGAAAAAATAATGAAAAATGATGTAGAGTACTGAGCACAGTGTTTGATGCCTGATAAAACCCTCCAGTATTTCGTAGCTGTTTTCATCATTCCTCTGTAGTGTAAGCTTCATAACACAAATTACTGCTGCGTCCCTGGTGCCCGAGGGCCCAGTGCCTGACACGCATAATTGGTGATCAGTAATTATTTGATAACTAAGTGGATGAGGAAGCTGACTCTGAGGAGCTTTATGTAAACACTTGTGATGTCAGATTACAATTTCTAAGAGAAATAAGACTCCTCCCAGTCACTGTGGGGAAATCAGGGCAGGCTTGAGGAAGGTGACAGGTGGTCTTAATGTCTGGTTATTAGCAGACAAAAAGAGGATGTTGCAGGCAGAGAATATCAGAGGAACACGAGGTGTTCTAAGAATGATGGGTTATTGTTTGGACTGGTGGGGAGAGGAAGGAGTTGCGGCCAAAAAGGAGTTTCAGGAAATCCCTGGATCATGTTAGTGCCTGCCATGAAAACAGAACAGGGTAGGCCTACAAACCCATGAATGTTGTTCATGATGTAAAATGTTCGTTTCTTGCTCACCCTACCTCTGCCAAGCACGTGAAACTCATCCAACAAATTTTTATGCACTGCTTCATACCGTGTTGGGTGCTGAGTGTGTGCTGATGCACGAGACCGGAAACTGCTCACAGGAAGTGACAGCGCAGTGGGAGAACTTCTGTGCCAGAGAGCTCCTGGGGGTGGGGTCCCCTCGCATGGTCTGCTTCAGCCCACCGTCATCCCTCACCTGGATCCCTGCAGTAGCCTCTGAAGAGTCTCTTATGTCCTCACAGTCCATTCTTAAGGCAACACAGAGATCCTTTTAAAACATAAATAAGCCTCTGAATTCATCTGCTAGGATTCCCATCTGACTCATTTGGCTGTAGCCATGCTGGGCTCCTTTCTGTTGCTCCCCAAGGGCAGACGTGTTTTACGTGGGGCAGCATTGCACTAATTCTTCATGCGGATATGCATGGCTTGCTTCTCCACATCCTTCCTTTTAGCTCAGAAGTCACCTAGGTGAAGCCTTCCCTGGTTAGATGTTTAAAATTTCAAGCCCTACTCTAATGCACTCAGCCCGGTTCTCTCTTTTGAGTGTCTCTGAAGTGCTTAACACCTTGTAGTAGACTATAGTTTATTGTACTTACGGTTTTCTCTCACGGTCTTCACTAGACTCTTAGCTCTGTGGAGGCAGGATCCTGTGTTCACTTCCGTGCCCAGATAGCCTGACATAAGGCTCAGTATCTGTGGAATGAATGAAGTGGCATCTAATTGGGACTTTAGAGTGAATCAGTGTGAGTCGATGAGGAACAGGACCAGCATGCCAGCAAGAGATCAGGGTGGGGTGGGATGAGAACACCTTTTCCTAAAGGTGTTGAACTTCCTAAAGGAAGTGACCTGCTTGGTCACTGGCTGCACTGCAAGGAGAGAGGCCAGCCAGAGTGCAGTCAGACACCACAGGTAGTGCACGAAGCCCTGAATCGGTCTCTGCTTTCCTGTGGACGGTTCTGTGGGCAAAGGAACTGGGCAATTCTGCCGCCACCTTGTTCTCACTCAGTGGTACATAGTGCAGGGTTTTGAGGAAGCAGATGTGCTGATCTAGAGACTAGACGCACAGCGCCCACAGTTCATTGCCAGCAGTGCTTACAGTAGGTGGAGAAAGGGACCTGGAGCAGTAGCCTGCAGACGGTGGTGCAGGTCTGGGTGCCAGTAAGGTGGTTCTGACTAGAAGTCACCAAGAACAAGGCAGGCCTGGGCCAGGAAGGTTTCCGTCAGACGAGCAGGGAGTCCTCGGGCCCACGCTGCCTGGTGGAGGAGTTACTGGCTGGGCGAGGTCTGTGGAAAGTGTGATGTGCTCTGAATGGTAATCCAGAGGGACAGCAGCTAGGGACATTTGTCGATTGTGTTTCTGTAGCAATAGATTTGACCCTGCATTTCCCCAGGGACTCCTATGGGTACATGTGAGCTAAGGATATATAACCGTGGGGTGAAGTGCTTGCCTAGCACGCCCAAGACTCTGGTCTGATCTCTAGCACTGCCAGAAAAAAAAAAAAAAAAAAAAAAAAAAAACAACCTTTTTCCTACAGGTAACCATTAGTAACAATTTCTTACATTTCCCTGTAGAAATTTTCTGTGCATATATATATATATATATGTATATATGAAAACTTAATATGCTTGTTTTCTGTATACTGTTCTGCAACCTTTCTTTTTCCTTAACGCATCTGTTCATGAAGATCGGACACTTCCTTTTCATACTGAATAGAACCCCACTCCAGTGGTGTTAAGTAGTGTTTTGATGTGGAGTTAAGAGATTTCTAAGCTGAGCATGATAGGGCTGGGCTGTAATCAAAGCACTCTTGAGGATCACAAGTTCAAGCCCAGGCTTGCTAAGTAGCGGCTTAGCAAGTTAGAGGACCCTGTTTCAAGCTAGGTAGATAGGTAGATAGATAGGTAGTTCAGTGCAAAGGCCCTGGGGTCAGACCCTACCACTCCCACCAACCCATTTCCAGTCACCCATCCTCAATTCTTGTAATGGATGTGTCCATATTTTGCATACATAGGAAGGGAACTACTGAGCACTACATGGTTTTAAATTGTGCTAGATATTGACAAACTGTCCTGAAAGGTGATGTCAGTTTACTCCAGTATTTCGGAGTGCCTATTCTCTATTTTTCCTGATCTGAATCTCAAGAGTTATTTTAATTCAATGCACTTAACAATGGAAGAGTAAGGTCAGACACCTATTCATACACGTACTAGGAAGGTTACAGTGCTCGGTGAGGAACACATGTATTCAGCCAGAGCAGCAGAGGAGAGGGCCATTCAGGGAGGTCCTAAGCACCTCATCTGCCCAGGGTTGAACCTGGGCCTGTGGTTTGGGTCTCGTTCCCCTTCAAGAACCCTGAAGTTCCTTGGGTCTGACCAAAATGCAGCTGCCATCCTGGGGTTTGAAAGGCACAGCACTGAGCTTTCTTAACACCTCTGGGGTTTCTGTGTCAGCAGGGACCCTGGTAGCTAATGTCAGAGGAAAGTGAGTCTCTGCGAACCAGCCCCTCTGTGGCCTCGCTCTCCGAGAGTGAGCTGCCGCCGCCCCCCGAGCCTCCTGGCTATGTGTGCTCGCTGACCGAAGACCTGGTCACCAAAGCCCGGGAGGAGCTGCAGGAAAAGCCCGAGTGGCGACTCCGGGATGTGCAGGCCCTCCGAGACATGGTGCGGAAGGAGTACCCCAACCTGAGCACGTCCCTCGACGACGCCTTCCTGCTGCGCTTCCTGCGCGCCCGCAAGTTTGATTACGACCGGGCCCTGCAGCTGCTGGTCAACTACCACAGTTGCAGGAGAAGCTGGCCGGAAGTGTTCAGTAACCTGCGGCCATCCGCCCTGAAGGAGGTCCTCAGCTCCGGCTTCCTCACGGTGCTGCCGCGCACGGACCCCAGGGGCTGCCACGTGCTCTGCATCCGCCCAGGTATTTTCCCAGCTGCTGTGCCCTACGTGTGTGGTCTCTCAGGGTCGCGTCTGTCTCACGCCTTTTAGGCCCTCTTCCCCCTTCCTTGTGTTTGCAAACCTTTTTTTGGGTGCATGCAATAGAAACCTACTGCAGCCTACTCTGGCGATAGGAGGATCTCCTAGACCCAGGGAGGTAAAGGGGAAGCAGCTCTCATCAGGTCCTAGAACCAAAAGCTAGAGTCCCACCAGGAGCCAAGACAGCCCTTGCTTGTCTCCATCTCTGTCCTCTGGGCCACATGGTTCAGTTTTTTCTCTGTGGACCAGCTTTTGCTTCCTGTGTGCACAAAGCTAAGTCTGGTGCCTCTCACCTCTCAAATCAACTGGCACTTAGATTTCCAGAGGAGAGGATCTGGCGGGCAGAGGAATCTGCCCCGTCATCTGACGCAGGCTTGGCCCTGCTCTCCTGTGGGCTCAGCCTCAGTCAGGAAGAGGTGGAGCTCCGCGATGGCACTGGTCTAGCATGCCTGGGGCCCTGGGTTGAGTCCTAGTTCTACAAAAACCCAGAAACCACAAGTGTACTGTGAGGGAGCGCGTAGCTGGCAGAGCCTGAAAAGGTGGCTCCTTCATTTCTACCTTTTCTCGGTCTTGTTAAACCCTGACAAGATTCAGTTTAAAATTTTTTTCCTTTTTCACAGTATCACAGATTGAATCCAGGGCCTTAGACAGTCTATGCAGGTGTCTACCACGAAGTGCTTCTCTAGCCTTTAATTAATTTGTTGATCTTAGCACTTCATGGTAGTAATCGGGATACCTTTCCTTCCCTTCCTCTCCCTTCCTGTTCCTCATCCCCCCCCCCCCGTTCCTTTCCTTTTAAAGTTTTTCTTTCATGTTGTACCAAACCCAAAAAAAAAAAAAAAAATGAGTACAACCAAAAATAAATAAACATCACAGTTGTTTATACCACTAATTATCTATATGAATGTTCTTATTCAGACAGGAGAAAGTAAGCAGCAATTAGGGACTAAGAGATCAAACCAGAGATACTTTTCTGTTTCTTTTATTCTGATTTCTTTGGCACAGGTGGGGCAGTGCCCTGCCACCCTCACACAAAGAGCATTTAGAAACATGTAGCTGGGCGTGGTGGCACACCTGTAATCCCAGCACTCTGGGATGCTGAGGCAACAGACTGCAATTTCAAGCCCAGCCTGGGTAACTTAACAACTCAGTGAGAGGCTGTTTCAAAATAAGGTTGTAGAAAGGCCTTTGTTATATCCCTAGTACTGAAAAAAAAAAAAAAAAATTCATAATTTACAAAAAAAGAAATATAGCAAGCAACTAGAGGGTGCTAGAACTCCAGCTTGTACTCTTCCTTGCCGCCAGATGCATTCTCAGGGAGGGCTGTTCTGCACTCCACCCCAGCCTCAGCATTTCCTCGCAGCTCAGGAAAACTGGAGGACTGCAGTGTCCTCTGAACAGGCTAGGAAATGAGAACACACTGGAGCTCCTGCATGTGAAGTCTCTGGAAGGGACACGTGACAGGGAGTGACACCTCGAAAGGCTCCCCCATCGCTCTTTGCACTCACCTAACTCCTTGGAGACTGGACCATTCCCTTCAGCTATCATCCCATACCAGGCACAGTGTTCATGGCTTTACCTGCTGCTCTAAGCACTTTCGGAAACTAGGGGTGTTTGTTTTAAAATAAGGAATATAAGGGCTGGGGATTTAGCTCAGCGGCATAAGCGCCTGCCTTGCAAGTGTGCGGTCGTGAGTTCGATCTCTGGTACCGATAAAAAGGAAAAAGACAAAAAAAAAAAAATAAGGAATATAGTACAGATTTCAGGACACCAGCAGACCTAGAAACCAGCCAGCAGGCTTTTCTGCTGCTCTGTGGACTCAGCTCCTAAGAATATTACAAAACAGTCAGATGCCACCTTACCGGTTGCACCTCCTTGCTGTGTGGGTCCAACCCTTGGCTGTGAGCTGAATTTTCCCTGTATCTAGAGCAGTCTGCACCCCTCCCTACTGACTCAGCTTCTTAGGAGGATGCATACATATACAGTTTTGTTCTCCCCTGGGTTTTGGTTTTGCCTTTTTATAAGCCTTTTGAGACGTGTGTGACTGAAGAGGATGATGGTAGTTCGTTAGACGGGCAGGTGTAACCCTGCAGAGGTCGCAGGTGTGGTATTACTCCTTAACAATATGTAGGGAGAGTTCATATCTCTCAGATCAGCTGCAGCCTCCTGAGGGTTAATTGGCAGCAACATTAAATGGCAGGCTGACACAGTTTTTGAATGAAGATTTTTTTGTTGTTGTTGTTGTACTGTGGATGGAATTTAGAGCCTTTGTACTAACTCAAACCCCCCCCCCTTTTTTTTTATTTTGAGGAGGTCCTCAGTTAATCACTAAGTTGCCCAGGATGACCTCAAAGTGGTCATTCTCCTGCCTCAGCCTCCCAGAGTTCATGGACGATGGGCAGATACCAGCTCACCCAGCAAGGACAAAGATTTTTCATGGAAATTTTGAAAATAGTGTATACCCCGTTGATGGTAAACCTATGAAGTTTTGTCAAAAAAAAGGCATATGGAGCTTCGTGGTATTTCCTTGAAGATAATGGTTCAGTAATCAAAAATATAATTTTACTTCCCAAAGAGAAGAAACAATCATTAAATATGAAGCATCGTCCCTGGGAAAGGGTTGGATGAAGGACCTCCCTGAACACAAGCATTATGCTCCATCTCACGGTGCCCCCCTAAAGCCAGTGTAGAAGTTAAAGCTTACTCTTTGGGTGGCAGGTGACAGCCAGCCAACTTAGCCCAGCTGAGACCAAAAAAAAAAAGGAACTCATTTGCCCAGTTAAATGGCATCTAGATACAGCTAGATTCAAGGGCTCACAGGTCGGGAGTGTGGCTCAGTGATAGAACACTCACTTAGCATGCACGGGGCCCTGGCTTTGAATCCCAGGATACGGGGGCAAATGATGGTGTTGGAAAGCTACGTTCATCCGTCCTGACCTCAGCCTGAGCCTCATTCTCCAGCCAGTTTGGGACTCGGGGGCCCCTGAATCTCAGGCTCAGAGCTTCACCAGTGTAACAGGGAGGAGAGCGCTTTCCTTTCCCAAGGGCCAAGCTTACAGAAGCTATGCCTGGCCTGATGTGGCTTAAATCACACTCAGGAGGTCACACCAGGCTGCAAATCAGTCCGTCCATCACTCTGCCACCTCTAGAATCAGGAGTTGACTCAGCTCTCTTCAAACTGTATGGCTCCCCTTGGCGGCTCCCCAAGGACAATCAGGGTGGTGGTTATGAAGATCCAGGAATTACCTAGGGCCATAGGCATAGATGTCCACAAAGGTAGGTATCATTCCCGATCTACTTATGAGCAGTGGAGGCTCTGAGTGAGGAAGCAACTTATCCGAGGTCACACTGCTAGTGAGGTTCAGACCCCCGAGTTGTGTCTGACTTTGGAGCTCAGGCTTTTAACCTTGAAATGCAATGGCTTTTCCATTTTCGAATATGCTGCTGCTGTTTGACGCATTAAGAAACATCCATTTTGCACAGGACAGTGACCACAAGAATATTTTTCTTGTTCATCTTGAAACAACAGTTTTACAAGACAAATCTTTGCGTATCTCTTGCTTGTATTCATTTCTGTAACATCCGTCCATGTCTTACAACCTTAGACAGATGGATACCGAGCAACTACCCAATTACCGAAAACATCCGAGCCATATACTTGACGTTAGAAAAACTCATCCAGTCTGAAGAAACCCAGGTGAATGGAATTGTGATTCTTGCAGACTACAAAGGAGTGAGCTTATCGAAAGCATCTCATTTTGGCCCTTTTATAGCCAAAAAGGTGATCGGCATCCTCCAGGTATGGCCCATGTTTACTGCATGCCTCTTTTGTGGATGCTTTGGCTTCCCCAGGACCCTGTCTGTCTACTGCAGGTCTCATGGATTACACAAAGCCCACTTCCCACCCTGCAGTGGGCAGTCATCTACAGTCCTGTTTACTACTGGCTCCTCGGGGTCTGCAGGCATTTTCAGAAAAGATATCCGCTATCTAGGCAAGCTAGGCAGGACTGGCTTTTAGGACAAGAGTCCAAAAAAACAGGTAAAGGCTTTCTGCATATTTTTGTTTCCTGACCTAGAAGGCAATGGAAGAATTCTCCTAAGAAATAAAATTGAGAAATCGTTCTTCTGCCCGAGGTGCTAGAGCCTCCACTGCCCTCTGTAGACCAGGATGTCTTATACTGTGGGACGGGATTTTGGGGAGAGGTTTCACACCTCATGTTTTGCATTTCAGAGCCCAAGTTCTGAGTTGAGAACCATACTCAAAGCATTTAACAGTTTGCAAAGCACTGTTACCCTCATTATAACCCATTCAGTCCTTTAAAGATCCCCCTGGGTTAGGCAAAGCAAGCTGTTTTGTTCGTTTGTTTTTTGGCATCCTGAGGATTGAATCCAGGGCCTTGCACATACTAGGCAAGTGCTCTGCTCTGCCACTGAGCTACGGGCTCAGCTCTTGCATTTTTGTCTTTTTAGGCAAGGTCTTCCTAACTTGCCTACTCTGGCCTCAAACTTGTAATCTTTCTGCCTCAGTCTCCCCAGTAGCTAGAATGTACAGGTGTGTGCCACCATGCCCAGCTCTGTTTCCTTTTTGATAGATGGGGAAGCAGAACTAGGGAAGATACAGCCTAGCTCAAGTGTCACAGCTGTAACAGGTCTGGATTCCCCAAGGCTGCCTCTTGTGAACTACGGGGCACCAGTGGTAAACAGTTGACTTCAGGGAGCCCCACATAAGTGTTCCAGTCCCCGCTGTGCACCAGGCTTGTTATTTAAAGAAATCAGGGCCACAGCAGACAGCATTATACATCTGATTCCTGGCTTTGAGCCAGTATCTGGCTTGCCTTGGCTTGCCTTAGCTTGCTTTAGCTTTTAAGTGCTCTGTTACTTCAGTAACCACACAGCTATTCTCTTAGCTCTGTTCTCTACTTTGATGCCCTTGCTGTACCTTGGGGTAGGTTAGACTTTGGATCAGTGTTTCCCTAAAATTCCAGAGAGGAACAAATTTGGGAGATGAAGTACAGCGTATCCCTGCTGGGTGAATTTCAGCATAAACATCTGTGTGTACAGGACCGCGGTTAAGGAAGCTCTTTGACTGTATTTACTGTTTCTCAAACTTACCTACCTGGAAACCCTTTTTCACATCACAGAAACACACTCAGAAACACACTTAGGGCAGCACTGACCCAGAAAGTCTCAGATGGCCAGACCGGTCCATGTGGACTCGGGCTATTGCTACAAGAGGACACTAACCACCTGTTTTCCAGCTCTTGCTGACCCAGTCTTGGCTCCCAGGGGAGGCTTCCTGAGGCTTGGCTTCCTGTTGGCCCCAGTGTGGGGCTGCTTGGAGGAGCCTTGAGCATCAGGCCAGACTGATACCAGGGTGGATGTGAGAGTTAAGGGGAGAGGCTGGCTGCAGAAGGGACACTTTCAGATACTGCAGATGTTCTAACCCCCCTTTCCCTTCTGCCCACAGGATGGCTTCCCCATTCGGATAAAAGCAGTCCATGTAGTCAATGAACCCCGAATATTTAAAGGCATTTTTGCCATCATAAAACCATTTCTGAAGGAGAAAATAGCAAACCGAGTAAGTGATCCTTTTGACTTCAGATGCTTTAATTTTTTTTCTCCTCGATTTATTTAGTTGTGACATCTGGTACTTAATTATTTTTGCACTAGAATTAATTTGGAAATTATAGGTAAACATAAACGAACAATCCTTCTTATGAAGGTAAGGTGAAGTTAGTAAAAATACAGTTTACCAGTAGAGAGAACAGACAGCATTTTTATTGTAGGTGCCTCTCTGTCCTGTGATCTTTTAGACTTGGCCACCTGGCTAAAAAGTAAGAGGATGTAGGAACAGGGGGAGTCAAGGGAATCACGGGCAGATTACAGAGTTCACGGATCCCCACCCCTACCCCACGCCAGCCTTTCCTGCTGCTGGGATTGAACTCAGCGCCTGCCACATAATCGTCATTTCTTGATTTGTGAGCTCAGTTCATTCTCCGGAGCTGGTTGGCACCCAAGCTGTCAGCTGAAGGCTCAGGCTCCTCTACACAGCCTTCAAAGTCTCTCCTGTACACAGGCAGATCTCAGTGTCCTTAGACACAGGCCCAGGATTTCTCAGTTAACCCCTACACGAAAGGTGTTGCAATGTTCCCTCCAGGACCCTTTAAGGGTTAAATCTGCATCTGAAACCTGGAAGCACAAGTGGCAGGCATTCAGGTCACAACTCAAGACTTTGGTTGTAAGTTAAAACTAAAATTCTAGTCATAACCCAAGCTGCTCCTATGTCAGGCCCGGCATATCCCAAGGGCCCACTGAACACCTTGGGGTTTAAAAATGCTGTTTTGTAAATGCAAATTTTAAGGCGAAGCAAAAAGATGGCTTGAACCTAGGAGGTTGATGCCACCCTTGGCAACATAGCAAGACCCTGTCTCAAAAACAAGCATGTATAGAAAGCTGTTACAGCCTGTTTACTTAATGTGTTGTCTTATTAAGTTTGTGCGGCAACACAAAGTGTATGAACTGTGCAAGTTTTTAACTTAACTCATAATTCAGAGGGAAAATGATAGTTTGAAAGGCAAGTCTGCTTTTCGACCAAGAGCACTCTTTCCCAGGATTGACTGACATGGGATGAGCATTTCTCCTTCTTCCCAAGGCCTAGGAACACCTCGGGCACTTCAAAGACTGCATCCTTTAAAAACTCTTCTCTGAAAGCAGAAAATTTAAGATCCAGATCTGCATTTCCAGGCCCTTTCTTGAAAGATTTTAGCACCTCAGCAGGGATCTCTGGTTTTCACATTTATTTAGGCTTTCTGGGGTTTTTTGGTATGAACCCCAGGCCTTTGCACTGAGCTACATCCCCAACCCTTTTATTTTTTATTTTCAGACATTTTTGTTTTTAATTTTATTTTACTTTAGTCTTGCTAAATTACCCAGGCTGGGCTTAAACTTGTGATCCTCCTGCTTTAGCTCCTAGATGCGTGCCACCATGCCTGGCTAAGCCTACATAGCCTTTTTATTTTTTGAGAGAAAGTCTTGCTAAGTTGCCCAGGCTGGTCTTGAACTTGTGATTCTCCTGCCTTGACATCCAAGTGTCTGGGATTACAGATATGCACCACTGTGCCCGGCATTCTTTAGGTTATTCTAACGCACAGCTAGGCATGAGAACTGCCATGTTAGAGGTCTCCCTCCATGGGGGTGCAGTCATATTGGTTGCTGAAGACTGTGCAACGTTTACCAAAGTAATATGTGGTCCATCATTCACTCTGGCTTTTAGATTGGCTCTGCTGGAAGGTCATAAACAGGGGAGTGACATGACCTGACTTTAGGTTATAGTGTGACCAGAGTGGGGGCAGGGAGGCTGACGAGGGACTTCAGGAAGTGATGCCAGCATGGCACAACTTCGGTGGCAGTGAAGTGGCTGGATGTTAAGGCCCAGCCAACAGGGTGTGCAGTGGGGGAAAAGAGAATTAGGATGCGCCCACCTTTGGATCTGGGGACTTGAGGAGCCAGAAGGGCAGATCTGTACTCTACACATTTGAGCGCTTCCCACAGAGGAGACTGCCACATTGCGGACTAACTAAGGACGTATCTGTGTCTTTGTTTCCGTGTAGTTCTTCCTCCATGGATCTGACCTGAACTCTCTCCACACAAACCTTCCCAGAAACATTCTCCCCAAGGAGTACGGGGGCACAGCTGGAGAGCTGGACACGGCCACCTGGAACGCAGTGCTTCTGGCCTCCGAGGAGGACTTCGTGAGAGAGTTTTGCCAACCTGTACCGGCCTGTGACAGCATCCTGGGCCAAGCGCAGCTGCCTGCGGGGCTGACTTCTGATGCGCCGTGTGACGACTCTATGCGAGCTGTGAAGTCCCAGCTGTACTCCTGCTATTAGCCAGCCCGTGGGGTGTCACCAGGTTTCAATCCTCTTCTCCTTTCCTCTTGTAGAAACTCAAAAGAACTTAAGTGCCAAGGCCTCCTTGTAATGGAAAGGTAACATGGAGGAATGCCCAGGACAGCTCTGAGAGCCAGGCCATCACGGGGAAAACAGCTTTGGTCACTTGGCTTGTTCCTGGGATATGTGGAAAATATTCCCAATGTGATTCCCAAATATTTGCACTCTGTGCAACTACTGAGCTAAGCCTAGTTCGTACTCATCTCAGAAGCAAGAAAAGTCAGCACCAAGTTGCTTCAATCCAGATTTCCTGGAGAAAACCTGATTGGCCAGTCGGCAACTCTTCTGAAACAGTTTGGCTAGACCTATAAGGTGTGGCCTTGGGGATCTTTGTTTTTCACATGAACCTTAAGTGTACACCTGTTGCTCATCAGGGATCTTCAAGCCTGAAGTCTGGCCCCGTTTGCCATCACTGGGTTTGGGAAGCACCTTAGGTGATCATGGAAACACCAGGACCAAGCAGCATTTCCTGATCAAATCAGGAAGCCGGAGGCTTCAGAGCATCCCTGGATTCACTGGGCAAAACTTGCAATAGAGACTTTTCCCCCAAACTTATAACGCCTTAGCCGTGGTTCTCGGAAGAATCATACAGGGTCCTAGAAGGATCTGGTTTTGTTTAATGTAAAGTCATGGATGCTAGGCCTGTATAGCTAATGGAATTCTCACTTAGGAATCAAGAGACCTGAGCTCCAGTTGTGTGTGAGCCAGATAAGGGCCATAGTAGGCCTCAGCTTTCTCACCTGTAAAACTAGGCTGGCAAAAATCAAGTTTTCTAGGGGTTGGGAATTTAGCTCAACGGCATAAGCACCTGCCTTGCAAGTAGGCAGTCGTGAGTTCGATCCCCGGTACCGATAAAAAGGAAAAAGACAAAAAAAAAAAAAAAATTCAAGTTTTCTAACTAGACAGATGATGACTACCTGTCTATGAAGAAGTGTTTTAGCCCAACTTTTCATGAAAGTAGTATGTCTGGCCGGGAATATTGTTCAATGGCACAGTGCCTGCAAGGCAAGCACAAGGTTATGAGTTTGATTCCTGGCACTAAAACAAAAGGCAGTAGTATGTGCAGCCAGGCATGATGGCGCACACCTGTCATCCCAGCATTCGGGAGGTCGAGGCAGGAGGATCACTGTGTTCAGATTGGGCTACATAGTGAGTTCAAGGCTACCTGGAACTATAAAATGAAGTCCTGTCCAAAACAGCCTAAAATAAAAAAGGGAAGGGTTGTAGCTCAATGCAAAGGCCCTGGGTTCAACCAAAAAAACCGTATGTACATTCTGGAGCTCAGTGACACCAACTCCATTTTTCCTTTCTCTAGTGATGGTTAAACTTTAAGAGGACAGCTTTTGCCTGTAGTCTCAGCCACTAGGGAAGCTGAGGCAGAATGAGTCAAAGTTTGAGGCCAGCCTGGAACTGACTGGTGAGACCCTGTCTTTAACAAAAGGACTTAAGGTCAGGCCTCCAGGTGAACGGACTTCAATCTAGTATGAATTCCTGCTATCCCAAGACACTCGTGGTATAATGTAAACCTGGCTATGGTGGCTATAATACTTGGGCTCCTTTAATTCATCTTTGGAAATGCACGGAGGGGCAGGTTATTGCTGGGTCCCCTCCGAGGCCCCTGCGCTCCCACACTGGAGTTTCCTCAGCCTGAATGAATGTTCTCTACTTCAGCACTTTAGACCTTCCCTGTCCAAGACTTCAGCCTTAACCCAAGCACCATATTTGGTGGTTCATTGGTGGCTTTCAACCTGTTTCCTTTCATATTTGTGTTTGTGATTATGGAGTTACCAGTGACAGGCGCTGCTTGCTGTGCTCACGCCTCCTCTGCACATTACATGGTGCAGGCAGGGCAGCCTGCTCGGTTAGAGAGCGATACTGTTGGTCTGTGTCCCTTAGTCGTTCATCTTTACAGCAATTTAAAGCGTGTCTTGGTAAGTTTTTGGTAGAAACTAATTTACTTACCTCATTAATGCTAATTTTATGGGCAGTCCTTTTTACCATAGACACTAACCCTGGATTCTCTAGCGGCCTAGCTGAGCCGGAAGTACCCGAACTACAGCCCTCGCTGCCCTTCGTTCCATCTGACGATGATGGGAACAGTACTGCTAAAAGGACGTGACGGGGATGGCCGATGCAGACGTTCAGAACCCAGCATCCTCAACGGATGGAAGAAATGGTGAGAGGCTTTTGGGCAGAGAAAACACAACAGCTCAGAAAACTCACAGGAGGAGGGACGGAGCACCTTGCTGGCCAGTTGCCTTTGTCTGTGTGACTTTAACACAGGAATGGCCAGACTCATATGAAATGTATCAAAGACCAGAAAGGAGCTGGGCACAGTGGCACACACTTTTATTTCCAGCTATTGGCGGGGGCAGCTGCAGAGCATCAAAAGCTGGAGATCAGCCTGAGCCGCCAACTTAGCAAGGCCCTGTCTCGAAATAAATAAAAAAGTAAGGGCTGGGGATGTACCTCGGTGATAGTTTCCCTGGGTACAGTCTTCAATTCAGAGGGAACGGGAAAAAAAAAAAAGACCAGAAAGGATGTTGCCCAATTTTCCTGGCCTCTCTGGTTAGACCCAGAAAGTGGTTTCTTTCAGCGTCTGAGAGAAGTCAGCCTGGTTGGTCTGCCTCCGGGGGAGCTGCTTTGCTTTATTTTGGCTCCAAAGAGCCATCAAATAGTCCTGCGCCTCAGGAGGTTGGGACCAAGCTGTGAACCAGGACCGCCCTGGTGCAGACCAAGGCAGGGTGCTTGTGCCAACCAGCAGGGCGGCACTGAGCCATACTTAGTAGAAGACCTCCAGGAGAGCTAACAAGCAAACACTGAAAACTGGGGAGTGATTTCCACCAAGGAGAAGTTGTTTCACAAACACCTGGAAATTAATTTTCTGTACATTCATGGTAGTGCACTGGGAAGAAAGAGGAAGCAATAATAAATTAGAATTGAGCACCAGCGTGGCCTGCTAGGTGGCCCTGAGTGAGTCCCCTTCCCCGGGTCTGTATGGCCAAGGGGATGTAGGCGCTGAACTCTGAACCTTCAGTTCTTGGCATCTGATTGGCTTTACGGCCATACGGACATTAAACTCAAGAGGTTTCCTTTCCCCCATGTGAATTTAGGAAATTTAGGTCTCAAAGAATTGGGGAACAAAAAGTTCCCCAAATCAAACGCAAAACCAAATGTGAGCTTAGGTTTATAGGGATTTCCTTCCTCTTCTTTGGCTACCCCCCTACTCAAGAGTTCAGGAAAAATGTGCCTCTTTCTAGAGACCATCTATCCTACCTTCATGGGGAGAGGCAGGTAACCTCTGCCCAACAGCCAGAAAATCAACCCTGGCTTCGCTCCTCAACTCTCCTGTCGTTTTGGCTGAGGTGGCTTGGATCACTCACACTTCACTGCTTTCTGGAGGATTCATATGACTCAGGCTTGTAAGCACTTCAGTTACCAGATAACAGCTCTTCCAGAAAGAGCTGGGATGCCAGGAAGCACTTCCCTTGAATTGCTGTGTGCTGTTAGCCTGGATGGGGCACTCCTGTAAACGTCACCCCACCTTCAGACCATAGGTTACTTTTCCATCTGAGCAGCTAAAGCTGTCGTGTTGTGGCACTATTACCTCATCTAAAAGTTGTCAGGTGTTCCTTTGAAACCTTTGTTTAGAGTAAGATGTCAACTAAACTAATGTAAGTGAGGCTGACCTGTGGCCATGAATGGAGACATGGTGACTCCAAACCTGTGGACTGCTCAGGAGGGACACCTGTCCCTGTAATAGCTCTCAGTGCTAAGACCTCTTAGTGTGCAAATCTAAGCTCTTTTCTGCTCTCCTGACTTGGAAATGGTGTGCTTGAAATGAAAGAAACAAGCATCAGATATTCTTCTTAACAAGAGCTTGCTTTGTGAGAAGGACCAGTGTGACTTATACACCGAGATGACAGTGATGGGGTTACTGGGTTGTCAGCTGGTTTCAGAACCTCACTGGGCAGCACATTTAGTCAGGCTGTGCATCGGCACACATGGACATGTCTCCACTGCCTGGTGTATTGGGTAGGAACCTGTGTGGGTGAAATACTTGAAACTTCTCTGTGGCCCCAAGCCTCTGGCACCACTCTGGTGGGGTGGGAGCTGGGCTACTTTCCTGACCAGTCTGGGGCATTTCAGCCACTGGTCGTATTCCTTGCTTCAAACTGAAATTCAGTTTGGCTTTGAGTATAGGGACATGGTGGTGGATTCATCTACTTCAGTATTTGTTTTGACCAAATGTTTATTTTTCTAGTGCATTTTTCTAAGTCAAAGTGGTGAAAATATGTAACTTTAGTATGCATGACTGGGTCTTAAACAATAAAAATTCCTTTAAGGTTGAATATGTGTGGAATCCTTTTGTGACAATGACAATTTGGGTACAGAGACTGAGATCTGTTACTGGCAGGTGAAGCCAGGAGGGCACAAGCATGAAGGTTATGCCAGGGAGCACAGAGGAGAACCGAGTCAGCTACGTTTAGGAGAAGAAATTTGCCGATGTTGAGTTCTGGAGGCCCAGCCACGCTTCTCGGTACTGGCCTCAAGTCCTGCCTGTCCGCAAGAGCTCTGAGGTAAGCACATGAGGTAAGTACACACAATCCACAATCTCGTTCAGTCTTCAGGTACCTACATGAGGCAGCATTACTGGCCCTGGCGGAAAATGAAGCAGCTGGCGTTCACTCCCTAGAGCGGGAGAGGGGTGTGCCTTAGCTGTTACTCCCCCAGGCAACCCGCCCTAGAGAACAGGCAAAGAAGGTAGGAATATTTTAAAGAGTGAGAAAGTTTTATTCATAGAGACAGGCTTCCTTTCTGGAAATATAACACAGCAAGTCTTTATATCTGAGACCCAGATTATAACAGCATGTTAGTCCATAAGGAACTCCAGACTCCCTGAGGAGCTGCAGGTGCAGCTTGACCAACTCTGGTAGCACACATGCTAAGGTGTCTTTACCTGTCACATCTGTGTCCCTACGGAGGGTCTGGCAGTAGAGGTGCTGAGGCAGGAGAGAAACTCCCACACAGCACGCAGACTTACCGTTCGCTGCTGTTGGCGCAACCAGGAAGTCCTCCCGGGCAGCGCGATGGCTCTGCAGGCGCCTTTCCTGAGGAGGCTGGAGCTTAAGCACGGTCTCTTTCTCAGTTTGGAAAATGGGAGCTAACAACTCCAGTCCTTCTTAGCGCACAGCTGCAAGAGGATCCACAGAGGCCCTTTTGCGTGATCAGAATCAGGGTTCTCAGTGCCGACTCCTCAGGTTACGGTGTGGCGCTGCCACGGTCAGTGGCAGTAAGAGTGCCATTTCTGCATTTGAAGCTGGTGAGTAGGGCAGGGGGTACCGCTCAGCGGTGGAGCGTGTACGAAGCATGCATAGTGCCTTAGGTAAATCAAGTCAGTGAGTAATAACATCCTTTAGGGACCCCCCCCCCATCACTGTACGTGGAACTCTGGACCTCTGGACCTCTGCGCTGAGCTATACTCCTAGCCTTTTATTTTTAAGACAGAGTCTCAGAGTCACTAAGTTGCCCAAGCTGGGCTCAAACTTGTAATCCTCTGCCTCAGCCTCCTGAGTCCTGGGATTACAGGTAGTGACACCGCATCCACATCCAGCTTCTTAGGGAAATCTTTTAAAATCAGTGTTCATGCTCTACCTGATTAGATGCCAGCCTCTAAGGACAGAATGACCTAGTAAGATACAACTGATTGCCTCTGGGTGATAGTATGAACTTTGCCTCTAAATGAGAAATAGTTTTACGAGCCAGGTAATTCCCTTATACGTCTCCATGTAGACCCAAAGACAATAAGGTTCCTGGATAATCTGGACAAGTTACTAACCTCACTGAGCCTCAGTGTGATCTGTAAATCGAGAAGAAGGGTAACGACCACCTTACAGGAACGTTTATACATCACGTCACTCTTAGCACACAGCTAGACAGCGTCTGTGCATTACTCTTCACCTGAGGACACAGGCACTGCGTGGCCTGAGTCTCCCAGCAGTGATCAGGACACCAGTAAGGAAGCTGATGGGTTTGGGAGCCTAGAAACAGGATGGGCAGATCACAACAGGAGGACAGAGATGAACAGCAGCTCCTATGAATAAGCATATGCGTGGCTTCTGCTATCAACCTACATAAATCAAATGCACGACATTTAGCTACTCACTTCAGCTTGATGCATAAAAAGAAAAATACAGTGCTTATAGCAGTACAATTTGTAATAGCTAAATCTTGGAAACAACCCAAATGCCTATCAACTGCAGAATAGATAAAAAAAGACGTATTTTTATACAATGGAGTACTACTCAGCTATAAAGAAGGATAAACTTGAGACTGACAGGTAAATGGATGCAATTTGAGACCATACTCATAAGTACACTCATAAATAAATCAGATTTACATGTGTAAACATTGTATTGTCTCCCTAGTGTAAAAAAATGAAAGTAAGTAAGATCCAAAGTATACAATAGCTATTGTGAAAATGAAAGAGGAAGAAATTATTCAAAAAGAAAGAGCAACTGAGATGGGAGAAAGGAGAAACAGGAAAGGATTATATACATAATTATACTACTAATCTGTTAGTTCATCAATAAGAACAGACTCTGCTCTCATTCTTGGATGATTTTTTTTCATGCCTATATCTTGTGATCTGAGCAATTACTCTGAAGATAATGATATGCGATATATTAACCATTTTTAATCTATTATATTGTTATGAAATTTGGTATAATTTCTACTTTTTTCATTTTAAAATTAAAAAAATTTTTTAAAAGAAAAAGAAATGCAGTCAAGCAAAGACCTATACAAAAAGGCTATCCTGCTTCGCATTAGAGCCAAGTCACGGTTAGATCCAGAACATCAAAGTGATACTGACAGCTGGGTTCACAGCCATTCTTTGGCAGCATCTTTGCTTATCAAGTTTTATTTCCCAGCCAAGTACATTACATTACCAACCTAGAAAGTGAACTAATCCACCATGGGCCCACCAGCTTCCTCACAGCGGTAACTAGGGCGAGGTGGCAGCCGCTGCAGTGGCCCCATGCATCCCTAGCTGGACCACGCCACTGACCCAGGAGCCAGGGCCCTCTATCGGCAGCCCTGGGGGTAGCCAGGCCTGTTCCTAGCGATGAAACACCGAGTGACTCACCCGGAATTAAATGACACCTTGAGGTCTAATGATTCCAAACAGTCTGTGTGAAGTATGATCCTGGGCTTACTCAAAATGCTGGTGTTATTTACTTTTGTGTTCTCATTCAGCACTCGTGGGCAATTTGGTTGAGTCAAAAGTGAACTTCCTATTAACAGGCAGAACTAATATTCTTAGGAAATGACCAACCAAAGGAGAGACACCGCCCCAGTTTTAAAAAATAGTTTCTTCAAATTAGTATCAAAGTTATGAGAAAAAAGTAAAAAAGTTTATTGGACTTTGTTACATTACTTTACACGTTAGTACTGATTTTATTTTGAATTATGATGCAAAGTAGAGACTCGGGGCACCGAAATTCTTTGAAGTTTGAACCTTTAGTGCTCTTACTGTAGCTCTTCTGGTGTTGAGGCAAGTGGAGAACCTGCTTTACTCGGGCCAGATCAAGACCCACACCTGCCTACCTCACAAATCCTTCAAATCCTTTGCAGCTTCCGCTCTGTGTGTAAACCGGCCACAATCACTGGTATCAGAAAAGCAGTTTCAACAATTCACAGCAGGCCCTGCCTCCCTACTCCCCACCGCCTGCACTCCAGCGGAGACTGTTCCTCTTCATTCTGTAAGAACACCTCAAATCCAACTTCCAGCAGCTCTGGAACATTCCCAGCCTCATATTAGCCCACACCGAGATTAGCAGCTACTGTAAACAGTGCCTGATGTGGGCTAACCACTCTGTGAAACAGCTCTATTTAAAACCTTATGTATAAGGTGCTAATACTAAGCAAGCAGAGGCAGAGAATCTGGCCGGGATCATAGAGCACAGTATACACTGGGTATCAGCTGACCAGCTTAACAGCTAGAAAACTGCAGAACTGGGCTGCCGCCTTCATCTCTGTATCACAACCCGGCTTCTTCCTGCTTCCATCTCAGGGGAGCTACCATTTCCTTGAATACTAAACCAGATCCACCAAAGAAATCAGCTTCTCCTCCATAACTAACCAACTGCCAGTGTTAAAAGTCTACTTAGCGGGGCTGGGGATTCAGCTCAGCGGCATAAGCACCTGCCTTGCAAGCAGGCAGTTGTGAGTTCGATCCCCGGTACCGATAAAAAGGAAAAAGACAAAAAAAACAAGTCTACTTAGCAAGTTGCTCCCTGGTATCAAATCTCATGGGTTGTCCCAGTAGCTCTCTAAATCCAACCACTTTCTAGCGGCCAGTGACTAAAGACATTACATTATCTGCTCATGTCACTCTGAATACTCTTCCTGCCACGCTCAACACAAGGTCTAAGTTCTCACGAGGGCAGAAGGGCACAAAGCCCTCCCCACTCAGGCCGCAGATCCTTCCCCCATTCCAGCTCGATGGAACGTCCTTTCCCATCTCCCTGACTTTAGCATCCGACTCTGGCCACCCTGCAGCGTGTAATCTCGCTCTCCCACTTCTCTCTCAGCAGCCTCCCGTGACAGCTCCTGGTTTAGCCAGCACTTTCTCCAGAAGTCCAGCAGGACACCCTCTATCCGGGTACTTCACTTGAGTTCTCTGCAGTTTTGGTATGATGGCACTAATTTACTGGATTACAAACACCCAAGAGCTCACTTTCACTTCCCTTAAACCCAAGCCCAAATGAAAGAGCTACGTGTACCCAGTCTATCATGGATGGGGTGTCTATCCATGCCGCAGAATCTACAGGGCCTGGCACAGAGAAAGCAGTGAATCGCTGCAACGGGTTTTCACTCTACCTCCTTTACTATTTTGGTTCTTGTGAGACAGGGTCTCACTCCGCGGTCCGGGTGGCCTCGCTCCTAAGTGCCGAGGTTACAGGTGCACAAGTGCACCGCTTCTCCTCCTCTATCTGCTGTCTCAGATGTTTCCTGTCAGTGCTTACCTGTCTTTTAGCCACCAAAGTCTCACCTGGGGAGGATCCGTAAGGTGAGTTTTAAATGAGTTCAAGGCTAGGTTCACTGGTCAGGTCATCAGTTTGGTTTTTTTCTTTTGGTACCAGGGATCGAACTCACCTCGCGCTTGCCAGGCAGGCGCTTATGCCACTGAGCTAAACCCCCAGCTCCAGGTCATAAGTTTTTAGAAGGAAGAGGAGCATCCTGGCTAGATACCAAATAAACTGTGACTGACCAAAAATAACAAATGGCTGCTATGTCAGAAAGCTGTTAAAGAAAGGGCTTTAAAAGCTTAATATCTTTCTATTTTAATCAAATACCTTTAGTGCAAATATAATAAATTTACATGCACTTTACTTTTACATACTCATAACAAGAAGATTACATATACACTGCAGTGTTTTCCCAACTGAATCTTCATTTTAATCAAACCTACAAAGCATGTATTGAAATTAATATATATGGCAACGCCACAGACTTGTATCAAGCAGCATCAATGCTGTAATATAAAAAAGTAAAGAAACTCAAGATGCAGAAGCAGTAGCCTTCTCAGCAACCACTCTTCTGAGGAAGGACTTCCTCACGCAGCCCTCGCCCGAGAAACACACTGCTACACCTCTAAGAGTTACTCACTGAGCAGTGCGCTTATATTACAGACCTTCACAGAGGAAAATGTCATATAAATGCATTATTTTTTGCTTTGTAAGGAGACTTCAATAGAAATATATTAACCATAGCTTCAAATATCCAACATTCTTCTTCTAGTATTTTAAATCAAAGCTGTAAGAACCTGTAGGTCTTTATAAAGAACTTTCCTCACAGCACAGCTGTAGTTCACTTTGACACATAAAAATGTTCTCTTTGTGCTATAGCCTTACAAATAAACATAATATACATAGAAACGAGAAGTTCAGATTCTGCACTGAACGTTATTCAATCTTGCCTTTTGCTATTAACCTGAATACAGGCAAACTGGCAAAGCATTCACTTAGTGGTTTAGTTGAAGCAAAGTTAAAAGGACATGAATTTTCAGCAAAGGTGACCTTTATGAGCTTCGGCAGCATCCTTGGCACCAGAAGTTTAGCTGAAGTCCCGATTGGTGAGGATAATTGGAGCAATGAGGGTCCAGGCGTACAGGAGGAGGCACACCCAGCTGGAACTAATCTTGACCCACACAGCTGACCACCTGCTGGACACGGGCTGGAACGTGGCATTGGGGCTAGAAAGAAAGAGCAGCAAGTAAAGGAACCTCACCAGGTGTGTCACCACACACCTGTAATCCCAGCACCTGGCAGGCTGAGCCAGGAGGATCACTGTTGTAAGTTCAAGGCCAGCCTGAACTGCACAGTGAGACCCTGTCTCAAAAAAACCAAAACAGGCTGAGCGGCACAGCCCCTGCCTGACAAGTGCAACATCCTGAGTATGATTTCCAGTACCATAAAATAAGAGTGAACAGATTCTGTGGTCAGGACAGTGGCTAAAGACTTCAAGGCAGTGCAAGGGCTAAGCGGTCCTCCCCGAGTTTTGTCGGTGCCACCTACTTGTACCAGCTGGTGAAGGTCATCATGATGTACAAGGAAGCCAAGGCGAACATCAGGTGGCAGGTGCAGTAGCTGTATTGCACACCCTCTTTCTCATTGTCCACAACCCGCCGAGGCTGCCCGTCCTCTTCATAAGTTGTATCACCAAGGATCACACTGTCACTCCCGGAGAGGGTCAGCTTCTTCACCTGGGCGTTGCTGGAAGTGCGGATGCTGGAAAGTGATCCCAAGGAAGATAAATCAGGAAGGAACCATGAAAAAACGCTGCCTTTGGCTGTAAACTTGGGCTATTTTGAGTGCCCCTGCTTTGGGTACAGAAGCTTTCTGAAGGCTCCACTTTAAGTTCTTGAGCTGCTGCGTTTTCCACACCCCTTGCAACCCTCCCTACTGAGCTACATCCGTTTCCCTTATTCATTCATTCATTAGCACTGAGGACTGAACCCAGAGTGTCTGCATTTTGCTACATTTTCAGCTTTTTTTTTTTAATTATATGGCAGAAAGGGTCCCACTAAACTAAGTTGCCTCAGCTAGACTTGAATTTGTGATCCACCTGCCTCAACCTCCTAGAGTCCTGGAATTATAGGCATGTGCTGCAAGGCTTAGTTTTTTTTAAAAAGCAGGTCTAAATATGTATCCAGGCTGACCCTGAACTCACAAACCTCCTGCCATAGCTTCCTGAGTGGTAGTATTACAGGCATGCACGACCTTGCTGAGCTCTGCCTTCCTCCTATTACAAGAACAGTATTCACAGGAGTTACTACTCAGTGGCTCATTCTGAAGCATACTATGTGCAAATTATCTGCTACCATGACTGGTGAATGTGAACAGCTGCCTCTTCTCCACTGGGAATGTGCCAGCCTCCTCCCAGCTAACACTCATCTCAGCCGCATCCTCTGGGAAACCTTCCCTAACATCACGCCTCACTAGGCTTCTAATAGCCTCCTCCCACCTCCTGCAGCTGCCCAGCACCCTTCTGCTCCTGGTCATCCTGTGTTGTTTGTTTTTCAAAGAACTCCTTAATAGTACTTATAGTCAGCGAAGCAATTCTGGACACTCCCTACAAACGAGTTATATGACCAAGTGAAAGAACACGTGCAAATAAAAGGACAAACTACATGATCAAAAGAAAAAGTGCTTAACAAAACCCAATACCCCTTTCAAGATAAAAACCCTCATCTAGATCAAGAAAAGGGCAAGGATCCCAAAGAAGTATTAGCAGATGACTTGATCTTATACATAGAAAATCCAATAGGACATATACACATAAACTATTAGAACCAATAAATTAAGTTCCCCAAGATTGCAGAATACAAGATCAATATATAAAAAGCAATACAAGCGGGGCTGGGGATTTAGCTCAGCGGCATAAGCACCTGCCTTGCAAGCAGGCAGTCGTGAGTTCGATCTCTGGTACCGATAAAAACGAAAAACACACACACACACAAAAAAGCAATCCAAGCATGGTAGCACATGCCTGTAATCCCAGAACTTGGGAGGCTGAGGCAGGAGAACTGCACAAGTTCAATCAACCAGTCTGGGGTATGTAGTGAGATGAAGGCCCATGGGAACTACACAGTGAGACTTTGTCTCAAAAAAAACAACAACAACAACAACAACAATTGTATTTCTATACTCTAGAAATAAACTAAAAATTTTAAGACAATCTGGGCATGGAGGCACACTCCTGTAATCCCAGCATTCAGGAGGCTGAGGCAGGAGGATCACTGCAAATTCGAGATAAGCCTGGGTTACAAAGTGAGCCCAAGGCCAGCCTGAACTGCCTCAAAAAATTTCATTTGAATGATCTGAATCATGATTTCATTTACAATACCATGAAAAAAGAATACAATAGTTAAGAAGTTTAAGATCCATACAAAATAATTATAAACCACAAAAAAAAAAAAAGAAGACCTACCTAAATGAGAGAGCTCAATGTCCTGAGTTCAATCTCAAGTACCACAAAAAAAGTAAACTTTTTAAAATTTATGAATCAACTGATTTCTGACAAGGATGCCGGGACAATTTAATGAGGGATAGCATAGCTTTTTTCATCAAATAATGCAGAACATCTTACTATCTACAGGTAGAAGAATGTTGGACCTCCTACCTCAACCTATACATAAAAACAATAAAAAGACAATTTTTTTTTCCTTCTTGAGACTGGATCTCACTATGTAGCTCAGGCTGGGCTTGAACTCACTTTGTAGCCCAGGCTGGCTTGAAACTTGCAGCATTCTCCTGACTCACCAGCCCAAGTGCTAGGATTACAGGCATGCACCACCACACCTGGCAAAGACAATCCAGTTTAAAAACAGGCCATAAATGTAAACAGACATTTCTTTACATAAAATATATGAATGATCAATAATTACATGAAAAGATGCCCATCATCATTAGTCATTAGAGAAATAATCAAAACCATAAGGAAAATGCTATGTATCACACCCTCTAGTATGGTTATAACAAAAAGAGACACTGTAATGGTTAGGAGATGACAGAGCTAGAGAACTCAAGCACTGCTAAATGTACAAATAAATGCAGCCACTCTAGAAACACTCTGGCAGCTCCTCAAAAGTTAAAGCACTAACCATGTAACTCATGAATTACTGACTATATATTCAACAGAACTAAAAACAAACAGCCAAGTCAAACAAGTTGGCACATGTCTGTAACCCCAGCACTCTGGGAAGCTGAGGCAGAAGAATCAGTAGTTCAAGCCCAGCCTGAGTAACTAAACTTAGTGAGACCTTGTCTCAAAACAAAAAGAAAAAAAGGGCTGAGCATATAGCTTAGTGTAAAAACCCTGGGTTCAATTCTCCTTCCCGATACTCCCAATACAACTACATGAAAAATGTGCACACAAATATTAATAGCTGCATTTTTCACAAAAACCCCAAATGTCTATTGACTGATAAATAGGTAAAACAAAATTTGGTACACCTACAAAATGGAAACAGCATTTCCAAAAACAGAAAAAAAAAAAAAACACCAGAAAGGAATTAGTACTGAAACGTACCACAACATGAATGAACCTTAAAAATACTCAGTGCAAAAAGCCAGTCAAAGGCCACAGATTGCATGATTCCATGCACAGTCACACACCATATAGGATCCTCAGCTGAGCTCAGGACGCCTGTGTGGCTGGCACTTCCGTCTCGGTTTATGTAAGGTCAGTCCACAATGTTCATGCAACAACACATCACCCAGGGATGCATTCCTCATAAAGCACCGTTAAGCCTATTTATGAAATGGTCTACTAGAAAAATCTACAGACACACAAAGGAGATCAGTGGCTGCCAGAAGCAGGCAAGCGAAGGACAGGCAGTGGCTGCTAGTGCTAGTGGGTTCTTTCTCCAAACAGCAGAGTTTTGTGTGTGTGGCAGTGGGTCAAACCCAGGCCCGATGCTAGCAGCACTACTCAACTACACGCCCACTCAAAAGTGTTTCAAAACGGCCATGAGGCTTGTGCAATCCTGTGACCACGTTAAAAAGTTAGTGAACTATGTTACTTGAGGAGGACGGATTTTATAGTGTAAGAATTCTATAGCATATACTGGGTGCGGCGACCCATGCCTGTAAGCCCAGCACTCAGGGGGCTGAGGCAGGAGAATCGCTGTGAGCGCTAGGCCAGCCGGCCTACATAAGCGAGTTCAAGTCCAGCCTGTACTACAGAGCAAGATGCTGTCTCAAAAAAGCCAAAAAATTAACTAATTCAATCATTAATTTAAAAAACTGTTAGGCCAAAAGCAAAGCAGTCAGGGACAACAAAGAAACAAATAACCATACCTCTGTGCCAGTAAAACTTTATTTACAAAATAGGAAGACAAGCCAAGGGGCTGTAGTTTGCCAATTCTTGTTCTAAGCAATTTTTTGAGACACAGGGTCTCAGACATAGTACGCAAGTGCTCTGAGCTACATTCCCAGCAGCACCCTTCACGTTATGCTTTTTTTTTTAATCAGTGATCGAACTCATGACTGCCTGCTTGCAAGGCAGGTGCTTACACCGCTGAGCTAAATCCCCAGCCCACTTTATGCTTTTTTTAAAAAACTTGTTTTAGTTTTTGAGGCTCTCACTATGTAGCTTAGGCTGTCCTTAAACTAGTGGTTCTCCTGCCTCAGCCTCCTGAGACCTGGTATTATAGGTGTGTGCCACCATCCCCAGCTCCTTCCGTTTTGAAACTAGACCTCTGTGAAATTGCCCGGATTAGCCTCAAACTTAAACTCCTCCTGCCTCAGCCTCTAAGCAATTGGGACTACAGACATGTACTTCTGCACCTGGCCTAAGCAATCTTTTAAAAATTTAAATCTATATTCATTATGTGGTAAGCCATCCAAATACAATGATAAATTTATGTATCAGAAAGTATGTATACATACATTGTATGTTCCTATTTTAAAATTATGTATCAAGTGATATAGCATGATGCAAGTACAATTACATATAAAATTATATCTGCAGAGATACAAACAATTAACAAAGGAAAATAATCTAAAATATGATGCACCAAAATGTTACTTGTGGGGGAAGCAGATGTGGACACCGTCTCTTTTTTTTTGGTACCGGGGATCGAACTCTCAACCTTGTGCTTGCCAAGCAGGTGCTTATGCCAGTGAGCTAAATCTCCGGCCCCAAAATTACAAATTCATCTCCTTATTTTATACATATCTTCTCTTATTTTACAAATGTACATAAACCTGTCCTTGACAATTCTGGTTATTTCTTAGTTTAAATGACTAAAGTAGAGCCCCGCATGGTGCTACACATCTGTAATCCCAGCACTCTGGAGGCTAAGGGAGGAACACCATTATGAGGCGAAGGCCAGCCTGAGCTACATAGTGAGACCCTGTCTCAAAAGCCAGAAAAATAAATCAATAAATAAATATTTAAAGTAATATCTGCCATTATATAGAAAGCATCAATCACAATGAGTGGGAAGATGGGTATTAATGGGTAACATGCTGCATCTGGGGTTTCTGATTAATTGGAAACTTTATATATTCATATACATATATACGTAATTCTACAGTTCAATTATTTATTGCAATCAGAAATTAAAGACTTTTAGAATCGTTTTCACACTGCTAGTCATCAGACACAGGGCTATAAGCATGCCAGGCAAAGTCTTCACCACTAACCTGCACCTCCAACTCCAAGATTTTTTCTCTAAAGAGATAACCCACTTGATTTTGAGAGCCACTCTTCTGGCTTATAGAGGGTCAAGTGAAGATTTTATCCTCCTATAAAAAGGAGAAGGCATCTCTTCATGAGTGGGAGGGATTATCTGATGAGATGATTTTCTGAACTGTAAGGAAATATATCGAGCTGAGTAAATCAGACGAATAAAAGACCTTTCATTAGACAGCCTCGATGTTTCACTCCTCACACTGGTTTCAAAAGCAGAACAGCTTCTCCTTGACTCCATAATTTTCACATGAGTGTTATACTAAGTTCCTTTTAACTTACCTAGAATACACAAGGCAGACAAAAAAGACAAGCATTCCCAAAATGTTCTTGGCGTTCAGGAAGTTCTCTGAAGTTGGAGCTGAGGTGGGGACCGCAGCAGTTGTGTTTGCAGGAGCCATGGTCGGCGCAGCTATGTGTGTGAGGATTTTCAGCAGGCTGGGGTTGCAGGCCTCGTCTGAAAGGGGAATTGCACAGCCGTAGTGACAGCTCCTCTGCACTAAGGAGGGTCTGAGGCTGCCTGCAGACCACTCAGTCCACAAGTGTGTGTGCTGTGCTGAGAAAACCTGAAACTCAGCAGCTGGTAACATGCTTATGTCACAACTCGTCATTAAATTTTAGAAACAAAAAAGAAATAACATTTTCTGTCAGATTTTACAAATGTCGATTGTGACAGTATTGGCTTTTATGGTTTAAAGCAGCGGTGGTGAACCTACGGCACAAGTGCCACAGTGGGCTGTGTCACTGAAAGCTCTAAAAGATTCACCATCACTGGTTTAAAGGACCAATCTTTTTAGTTTTATAGTTCCAAAGCTTTCTGCAGGAGCTTACTCCTGATTTCCTTTCAACATAGTTACTTAATAAAAATTATGCTGGGGTAGAGTGTATGCAATTCTTGTTTACCTTTAAAAAAGATCATAGCATATCCTATTGAGAAATAATCCTATAGTAACTATAAAAGGAGATTTTCTCCAGCTACTTGTTAGAACCTGTGACATCTAAGTAAAATTCAATTAAAATAACACTACAAAAGGCCAAAACAAGGCCACCTGTGTCCAGTGTTTGTTGTACTCTAAAAAAATAGCTTCGTTATATGTGTATTATAGCAAACCTGCAACGTGGCTTAATAAATGTGTTTTTTTTATCCTTTTTCCCTAACTGATACGTTAAGTGACCTAATTGATATGTTGAGCAATACTCTCCTCTGTAAAGAATTGCAAGAATCTCACCTAACTGATATGTTAACCATTGTTGCCCTCTACAAACTACAGAAGTTGTGCTAAAACAAGCTAACAAGGGTTGTTAATCACTGTTAGGAGCCTCTATTCTCCGCTAAAGAGATAAAGAAAACTAGGATGGCCCACTAATTTACACTTGTTTGAAGTAACCTGCTTGTGTGCAGAGAGATTTGCCTATGAGTTTAACCCTTTACCTGACCTTGATTCCCTTCCCAGAAAGAAAAAATATAACCGCCATTTTCTGTTCTGTATGGCGCCTTATTGCCTCCCTCTCCCCTTACCTATCTATCTAGGCTAGGCCATAAAGAATTTGGGTTTCTGATGACCTCTTCCCGACCCGGTGATGATCTGTCATAAAATGAGCCTGCCCCAATTTTAAGAACTGTTTAGCTTCAAAGAAATTACCAGGAAATACTATGGCCCAAACCCCAATCAGTGCTTTCCTTTTGTTCTGTATGCATCAAATGAGTTAGATATCAGATCTTTGTAAAACTTAAGTTTCAGCTTCTTGTAACTCTTGACCCCTTTGCACCCACTAGTGAAAACGAGCTGCCCTGGGATAATTAACTCTCCACTTTCTTCTCCAAATATTGCTGCAGATGTGCCACTCCGAGATAATGTCAGTCTGTAGGATGGGAATAATTTAAAAAGCACCAGGAACTCCCAAGATTGTCAGAGCTAAGTGGACAACAATACAAGTTTGATGGCTCTGCAGGTTTCTTTGTCCTCCCCCGCAACCCCCTTTCCTCCAGCCTCTTTTTAAAGTCCTCCCTTCAGTCTCTGGGGCACAGTCTCCAAATTGACCTGTCGCCAGGCCTGAAAATAAAGCCTTTGCTACCTAAATTTTCGGTCTCTTGCTTCCTTGGATTTTATACCGGGGCCAAGTTATAATGGTGTTCTTGACTAGTACAACTCAGTCCTGGCTTCACAAAACCTGGACTCTCTAAAGGACTGTGGTTCTTCAGGCTGCCAGCCACAAGTAATTAAGAAGAGATATGAGGAATGAAACAGTATCTACAGACCTTCGGTAAGCGCTATATATTCATGTGTAATTTCTATTCGTTTCACATTTGTTCTGACTCTAGTTTTGGGAGCCCCCAAAGGAACATTTCTCCACCTTCACCGAATGAGTGAGAACGACACTCCCTTACCAGGTTCGTTGGTCATGGCCGACCACGTGAGGTACTGGATGTACAAAGTGATGACAGAGGACTGCAGGAGGCCAGAACGCGGCTGGTGTTCCTATGGAGTCAAAAGGAAAACAACGCCATGGGAATCCCAAGGGCTGGCTTTCTCACAGCCAATGTAATTCCCTGGGATTCGCTCATCTGGGAGTAACACAGAACCTTCCGATTGTGCTTGAGAGCTGAAAAGACGGCAAGTACTCCTTGAATATGAGTTAGCCTGCAACACTTTATGATGAAAGATCTACTACTGAGTTCCAAGGCCTGAGTTCATACCCCTGCAAATGCCTGCGTATGACACAGAGGGGCGGATTCTCTAGTCCCCTGATGTAACAGAAAGTCCAAACTTGGCTCTACCATCATCTATCTAGGTGACTGAGTTTTTCCACTTTTAAAAGGTGAGATGGTATCTAGATATTACATCTACAACTCTAGGAATGTTTCAAAGTCTTGTATTTACTTACTGATGCTGGTGATCAAACCCAGGGACTTACCCAGTTTAGGCCTGCATTCTCCCACTAAGCTACTACAGCTATACATAGTACTTATAAAATGCAACACAAAAGCAGGCACTTTGCTTTTAAATTAAAATCAGCCATTTTTTTGCAAGCTTAACTCCCCTAAAGTATCTTGGCTAATTCCTCCTAAGAATCTCTCATAATTTAAACATTTCTTAAGAACTATACATTTTCAAGTTACCAAGCTTCTTTAATCACAGTGAAATTAGTTCTGATACAGCATATTTATTAAGTTGCTAGGTATGAAGAGACTATCATAAAATGGGAAAAATATTTAAGTGGATAAACACAGACATAAATTCACTAAAAGGCTACACAGGTTTAAGCTCAGCATTATTTAAAATCCTTTCACAGAGGAAGCAGAAGAAAATAAGCCTACCTGAACTTTGGAGTGGATTGATATAACAGAAACCACAATGCAAAGGATCACATTGATGCTGATGAAGAACTTGTTTTCCGTGCAGTCATCTGGTTTGGTGTAGTATGCGCAGAGCAGCCCAACAAAGACGATTGACAAGATGTAACATAAGCTTGTTAAAGAAAGTAAAACTGGAAAAAGGGAAACCAGTATGAATGTCCACAATTCTAATGAATTTTTACATGTCACACCAATTTCCTTCTATATCAAAATGAAGAGGCATTAATTCACTTTTACGGTAGTTCATAATCTACAGCAAAATTGCTTAGGTGCCAAGGTTAAAATCTCAGGTTGTGGGTTGAGTGTGACGGTGCATATATGTAATCTCAGCACTCAGGAGGCTGAGACAGGAGCATCACCATGAGTTCAGGACCAGCCTGGATTACAGATTGAGTTCAAAGTCAGCCTGATGTATATAAGACCCTGTCTCAAAAAAAATAAGACAAGAAAAAACACAACACAAAACAAATTCTCAGGTTTATTAATTTGGCTTAATGTTAAATTCTAAAATCCACCGAACAAGTGAATTCATTTCCTGGTTTACCTCATGCGGTTTCATGAACTGAATAACCAGGTATTTGATCACTACAGCTGGAGTAAATGGCTAACTATGTGCTAAATAATGTACATTGTAAACTTTCCTCAGCAACATAGTTGATTCCTGGGCCCCCAGATGACACAGTTCACAAGCTACATGCCAAGGATGCTGTCAAGAAGAAACAAAACATGCATCTTTTTCAGACAATTTTTCCTCCACAGCCACTGCCTACCTGAACATGTTTCCCATCACAAATAATGGCACTATGTGGCTTGCTTGCTATTTAGAAATGTCTACCAAAATGCTCTTTTCCATTCACAAGGATCATCAACAGTTAGCTGTAAAGCTCTAAAATTAGAAACCATGAAACATACAGAACACTAAGTTAGCTTGTGCTCATCTCAAAGCACAGACTTACCTGAGAAAATCAGTTTCTACATTATGTATTTCAGTGAATGTTTACTGCTTTTTTCAACTAAATATACAAGGTTTCTTTACTGAAAAAGAACTGGGAATGCAGTTCAGTGTGAAGGCCCTGGATTCATTCCTCAATAATAAACAAAACAAAAGAAGTAGAAGAGTTTAGAGATTCCCAGCTCAAATGAAAGACAAAAACTAAAATAGTACTTCAAACAATTTAAGTGATCAAGAATAGAATAAAGGTTAAGCACATTATAGTAAACTGTGTCATGGAATACCAAGGAATTACATGGAATGGAATCCCTTGCAACTGTTAAATGAATACACGCCTATACACAAATATTCATCATATAGAAAGTGAAAAGAATAAATCATAAAATAATGCATAGTATGATCCTGTTTGCATTTAAACGCAAAAATATATGTGCATGTAAATACCCTGAGTTTGGTATCAGCAGCTATATCTAGAAAAGCGGGGGGGGGGGGGGCCTGTAGAGACGTAGAGAATTCCATGTTCTGTTCCTAAGAAACTTTTCTTTTATAGTACTGGGGATCAAACCCAGGGCTATGAAATAAGTATGCTACCTGTTAACTACATCCCCAGTCCTGTTCTTTACAAATTTCTACCATTTATGTTTATGGTAAAAATAGTTGTTTGTTTGTTTTTTTAAAAAGCTCTAAGTCTAAAGCTGGGTATGATATATGCCTATAATCCCAGCAGAGGCTGAGGCAGGAGGGCCAACATTTCAAAGCCAGCCTGAATGACATGGCAAATCCCTATCTCAAACACATACACACACACACAGACACAGACACAGACACACACGCATATACACACACACACACACAGCCAGAGCACAGTGGGACATTCCCCTACTCTCAGCCCTCTGGGAAGGTGAGACAAGAGGACTGCAAATTCAAGTTCAGCCTGGGCAACTTAACAACATACTGAGAACTTGTGTCAAAATAAAATAAAAAAGGGCTGGGGATATAGCTCAGTATGAAGGCCCTAAGTTTCATATCTAGTACTAAAAATAGGAAAAACAGGAATTTGATACACACACAAAAAGCATTTAAACATTCATGCCACTTGACGCGCTACTTACAGGAATTTAGCCTATGGAAATAATCAGAAATGTGCTCATTCTAGGAATTCATTGCTATACTGTAAGTCCCAATACATACACAAGTTTTTTTTTTAAGTTTGAAAGCAGTCAGACAGGGCTGAGTACAGCTCAGCGGTACACCACTTGCACAGCATGTATGAAGCCCTGAGTTTAGACGCCACCCTGCACAATGTATTTTCAAAAAACCAACCATTTTACATATAACGACTTGGTTTATCCTTTTTTATATTCAAAAGACACACCGGTACATACAGAAAACAGACAACAAAAAACCAGACTAATACGTTAACATAAGCAGTAGTTATGGTATGTCAGGGTTATGGGAGAATTTCATTTTTGATACTCAGGGCCCTGCACATGGTAAGCATTCATTCACTCTACCAGTGACCTATACCCAAACTTAAAAATGTTTCCTTTTGTGATCTTCTGCTTTCCAAGCTCCTGACATACGACTATCTACTATAATAGGGGAGGAGAGAAGGGGTGAGGAATTCTAACTTTTTGATTTACTGTTTTTGGTTATCATACTTTTTTGGAGACAGTCTCATTCTCAAGCCTCAGACTCAGTGAGCCTCCTGCCTCAGCCTCTCAAGTACTAAAAATATAGGACTGTCCCCTGCACCCAGCTTCAACCTTTATATTTAAAATGAAGTGCAAAAAAAAAAAAGAAGAAAAAAAAAAAGGAAAAAAAATGAAGTACGGCTCAGTCTTTATCCCTAGTACAGTCCCTTCCCATCATTAAATAAGCTAAAAGTACTACTCTAAACTTAGAAATTTTAAGTATCCTTTTCCCATCAGAACACTTTTAAAAGAAGTGTAAGATCACACTCTGAATAAAGCAGTGAAGGGCTGTCATCCAAATCTCCCTGAAGTATGTGGGCATGTATCCCGTATGTAGAACCTATCTGAATTCCCTGACCATGAAAACAAGGTTGTCAAAACCAGAATTAATCTTTTTGTTTGTTTGTTTGTTTGTACCAAGAATTGAACTCAAGTCCTAGAACTTGACAGGCAGGTGTTTACGCCACTGAGCTATATCCCCGGCCACAGAATTAATCTTAAAATAATAAATATTAAGTGGGAGAATTTAATGATTTGAAATATCTGTGCTACTCCCTTTCATCGATATATGTAATTCACAACTGGTTCAACTAGAAAATTAGTTTTTAGAAAGGCAATTCTACTACAGTGAGTTTACATCTTACAATTAAATTACTGGCGATTTTACTATACACCCCTCTCATGTAGCACCATGGTTCCCGCGGCCGGTTTAGCACCTACCAGTGTACCAGACTCTGGGGTTTCCTTCTTCCTTATTTTTCATACATCTTTCATTCAAAGAGTGAGCCATGTCTACCAAGAGTACCAGCTGGATGAGGATGAAGAGAGCGGCCCCGACCAGGCCAATGACAAACCAGACTACAAACAAAGAAGAAGGTAATTCTTCACCATAGGAATAACACGAAAGAACATAAAATGTTTTAACATTTGAAGCAGATTTTAATTCAGCAGTAGAGCAAAACTATGACAATTCCAAACTCAAAGGCATTTTCTGAGGAGTGTTCTGTTGGATTTCAGCCCTTTTAAAATTGGTTCTAAGCTGGCTCAACCTAAGTCTATGACCTGTCCTTCCAGATAGCTCTGGAAGCCTTCTTTACTTTGCAGGGGATGGGGAGGGTCACAATGGAAATCTCAGCTCTCACTCAAAGGCATGTTAAAGAAGCAGGTTCAAACAGAGATAATGGAAAATAGAACACACAGGAATTACAAGTCCTTATACTGACAAGCTCTCTGATTAACTTTGTCTACTGAGATAAATTATTAAAATATTAGGAAAAGATTAACACGCAGTTTCAGAAAAGCTAAGAAATGACATGAATATATCCTATACTTAAATCTACATTCTCCATTAGTACCAAGTCATATAACTGGATACCATCCCATTTAATAGCCAGTTTGCAAAATCGCCAATGGAAATGTAGATCTAAGTTAAACATCTGTAGAATTTGTACATCTTATAGTTCATCTCTCAGTTATGAGCCATACCTGAGGTGAAGCCGCCCTCAGGGATGTAGAAAGATCCAACCATGATACCAACAATGACAGCAATTTTGAAGAACCAAAACCTATTAAAATGTAAAAATGCATGGATGAAATGCTAATTTTACATCTTTACATTGAGAAAAATGAATTTATACAGATAAAAATAAAGCCTTAACAGCAATGCCAGCAGGAAGAGAGGGGGTTGTCAAAAGAATTAAGATGTGTTGTGGACATGAACCAACTCCTTACAGTGAATATAATCATTATTCACTGCAAACATGTACTCATAAAGGTAACCCCAACCTAACTGTTCAGGCTTATTTCTTCACTTGACTTGAAAATACTTCACTAAATACCTCACACACAGGATGACGTTGGCATAGAAATCCAGTCATTTACATTCATAATAAAAGAAGTAAATTTAACAATCTCCCTACCTTCATTACTTGAAGGTAAGAATTATTCTAAAATTATGAGAAATTCTAACAATGTTAACTACCAAATCCTCTTCTTATACAGGATATAAATCTTTGTCCACAGTCACAAGTTCAATATTAGCAAAGCAGAACCAAACTTCCAGTCCATAATCTTTAATAATTGCCTTGTTTTAAAATTATTAGAAAAAGGTTTGTGCTGTTGTTTGATCACTTTTGTGTCTAGATTTTATAACTTGAACAACTAGTTCTGAGATATCCACTTGCAATGTATTAACTAGTTTTAATTTCCTTCTTTTTCTTGTTTGAAACTCTGCATTATTTCTATTCTTTTTTTACTTTTTAAAGATAAAAAAATTTGATTTTATTAGTATATTTGTAGTACATAATGATTATGATTCTCACAGGGAGCTGGAATATGCATGTAATACATCTTAATTCTTTTTTTGTACTTTATCTCCTACCCTTCCTCTGCCTCCCTGCCACCAGCTGTCTGTCCCTCTACCCATTCGCCACAGCTCTATTTTCATTATTTTTCCATCTCCTTTCCCTCCCTCCACCTTTTATTGCCCCATCCATTTGGAAAAGATCTCCCTACTTCCTCCCTTTCTTCTATTTTGTGTGTGGCCCCCTCAATATACATAGGTCTCCTCGTACAAGAGCCACCATGCAGTATTTAAGCTTCTGTGTCTCACTTATTTCACTCAACATTATAGTCTCAAGTTGCATCAATTTTCCTACAAATGACTTAAATTTATCTTCCTTTATGACAGCACAGTACTCCATTTTGTGTAGATACATTTTCTGCATCATTCATCTGCTGATAGGTATATATACTGTTCCCCAAATTTAGCTATTATAAATTGTGCTGCTATAAACATGGGTATACATGTATTTCTGTAATATGATGTCTTTAACTCTTCCAGGAAGACCTAGAAAAGGAGTAACTGGGTCAAACAAATTTCTGTTTTTAGTTCTTTTGCTGAAGCTTTTTTTTTTTTTTGTACCAGGGATAGAACTCAGGACCTTGCACTTGTGCCATTGAGCTAAACCACCTGCCTATTTTTAGTTCTTTTGAGGAATTGCCACACTGATTTCCACAATGTTTATACTACTTTATATTCTCACCAACAATGGAGAGATATATGTTGTTCTCTCCTGCAGCCCCGCCAGCATTTGTTATTTGATTTCTTGATGACAGCCATTCTTTCTGGAGTAAGATGGAATTCAATGCGGTTTTAAAATTTGCACTTCTCTAATGGTCAGAGATGCTGGGCCTTTTTCCATGTACTTTTTGGCAATCTGTACTTCTAAGATATGTCTATTTATTTCAGTTGTCCAGTTTTTAACTGGGTCTTTTATTTTGGCAGGTCTAAATTTTTTTTAGTTCTTTATATGTTCTTGCTGTTATTCCTCTGCCCAAGAATACCTGACAAGTTTTCTCTCATTCTGTAGGTTGTCTCTTCACTCTACTGGTTGTTTCCTTTGCTTTTTAATTTGATATGATCCCATTTGTTGATTCTCTGTATTATTTTTTGTGCCACTGGGGTTCTATTTAGAAAGTCCTTGCCTACGCCTATGTCTTCAAGAGTTTTACCTATTTCATCTTCCAGCAGATTGTTTCTGTTTCAACATTTAGATCCTTGATCCATTCTCATTTTAGTTTAGTGCATAATGAGATATATGGGTCTGACTAACCTTCTCCACATGGGTATACAATGTTCCCAGCACCATTTATTTAATAACTGCCTTGTATGGCAAAATAAAATGCTATCAAGTTTTGAAGGTGGAAGACCTGGCTTCATTCAAGCTCCATCCTCACTAGCAGAGATCTTAAGCAATGCATCTAACTCTTCTTTACTACATCTATTAAGGGTGAATATAATACATACAAAGTTTACAAAACTCTTTTCAGTCTACAAATGTAGTATCTTGCATAGTGTCTGAAGATGTTCAATAAAAATCTAGATACCAGAAGCAAAAGTATTGTTGTTCTTTTTTTTTGGTCTTTTTCCTTTTTATCAGTACTAGGGATCGAACTCACAACTGCCTGCTTGCAAGGCAGGTGCTTATGCCACTGAGCTAAATCCCCAGCCCCGAAGCAAAAGTATTAAAAAAAAAAAAAAAAGACAAGAAGACTCCCTATCCCCTATATCAGTGGTAACGAACCTTTTAGACCTTCCAATGATACAAACAGCCTGTTGCAGCACAAGTGCCACAGGTTCACCACTTCGCTATTTGTTACAGGGCTCTAACTGAAAATGACACCAGGTGTGATGGTACATGTCTGCAATTCCCAGCACTCAGGGGGCTGAGAAGGCCAACCGGGTTAGCCAGGACCACCCTAAACTACATAGTGAGACCCTTCACTCCTCCCCCCAAAAAAAGAAAGAAAATGGCACTAGCTGGACGAGGTGGGGCATGTCTGTAACCCCAGCACTTGCGAGGATGAGTCAGGAGGATTGCCGTGACTTTGAGGCCAGCCTGGGCTACATAATGAGTTCATGACCGGCCTGAATTACACTGCAAGACCTCGTCTCAAAAAGAAAAAAGAAAACAAACAAAGAAACAAAAATGTGACAATTTAAGATAGGTAGAAAGAAGACAAGGAAATCATAACTAACAATTGTACTTTGTAAGCAGACTGTAACTTGCAATTTTCAAGACACTGCTCAAGGTCATAAAATTGACTCATTTAAGAAAGCCAGTTATAGGGGCTTGGCTCGCAGATAAGGACAGCCCCGATGTCAACAGTAGGGAGATAATGAGACCTGGGGAAAGTGAACTCTGAATCCTTTGCAGGTGTGGCCAGGTTTAGGTTCCACTTTCTAAGGTTTGGGTAGCATTTCCTAACCTAACAAGAGGCTCTCAAGAGAAATCTAAACAATAGGTTGTATCTGTACAGAAAGTGAGCAGGTCCTGGCAAAGGAAGTTCCAGAAGGCCTCAAGCCAAAGAAGGAGTCTTGAGAGATTGGGTGAAGGACACCTCAGTGACGAAGGTCAGGCACCTGGAGGCTCAACAAAGGACTTGTTGGACTGATAGGATTTTTCTTGCCCACGAACAAGTTATCCATATCTCTGTTTGTTGTATTTATACTGATAATTTAGGCAAGCCTGTAATTTTTGGAGTATAAAAGCCCTAAACTGGGAGACCCTTTGCCAATCCATTCAGCACCCCTCCCACCCCCGTTAAACAACCAGTGGGCTATTTGCTTTTGCTTTAAAATAAAAGCTACTTTCTGTGTTCGCTCTATAATGATTATTTTGCTCAGTGCGTGCTGTACTATCTTTGCTAGCAAACCCTACTTAAGTCTCTTGCTGGTGAATCCTAAAACTTATTTTTCTGCAATGGGAATCACCAAGCCTGGTACAGTGGGGTGGGTTAACTTTGGGAAAACTCAGAAACTCAGCCCAGTGACAATTTCACATGGGTAATAGACCAGATTTATATGTGGGCCACTGGTACACATTATTTCATTGCTTCTAAGTGAATGGCAACATAAACTGCTGAGGCGAAGTGGATGTACAAATAATTAAGAAGTATTCTGTACATGCACCAACTCCTCATGATAAAGGTGAGCATTATGTACTGCAAATATATACTAATAAAAATAATTTAAAAAGTTAACTGCTGAAGAAGAGTCACACTATACTATATGCAATTAATAAGCAATCTTACGTACCCATTGTGTATTGCTGCTCTGGGATCTTTACTTGTTTTCACGTTAAACATAAGTAAAGAGAAAGCAAAGAAAAAGATGGCCAGCGCAAAGTTGATCCGATACACAGCTTTAAAACCAACCATCACATCACAATCTTTATCAGCCTTTACATCAGTTGCCTCAATTTTAAATCCCCCTTCACAGAATCCGGGAATCTAGGAAGAAAAACAATTTCAATGCCATGGGAATTCCCACATTTGTCAGAGATTCACTCTCACTACAGGAAGACTTGACTTTATAAACTGACTACTTTAGCAACAGCAAGCACTTTTCTCTTTGATTTCTAACAGCCTTGTTACCAAACAGTATAAACAGCTTCTGTTCAAAACTTAAGCGTCTTCCTTTAGCTTTCATGCTAATGAACTTATCTTAAACTCCCCATGAGACTTTCCAATTACAACAGACCTCTTTCTGTCCAATGGTGAAGGACTAGCTTAAAGCTTTTAGGAAAAGAAAATGTCTTGGGATCACTGCCTACACCATCCCTTAATATTAGGGATTGAACCAAGAGAGCACAAAGCTATATCCCAAGGGCTTTTTAAAATTTTATCTTGAAAAAATAAATACAATACAATAAAATACAATTTTATCTTGAGACAAAATCTTGTCAAATTGCCCAAGTTGAACTTGAATTTGTGACCCACTTGTCTCAGCTTCCTGAGTTGCTGTGACTACAGGCTTGTACCACAGAATCCAGCTTTGGGATTCCTTTTAAATTCTTTTTTGCTCTTGAACAGCTATTTCTAAGATGACAACATGTAATCTATTAACTAGTGATTTCTTACTGTTTATTTTTTTTTTGAAACCCTGTATTACTTGTCCCCTTTTACTGTTTTGTTTTGTTTTTTCTTTCTTTAAATAAAATTTTTTTTAAAAGTTAAAAAAATTCTTTTTTGCTCCTGGACATGGTGGCACACATCTGTAATCCCAGCATTACGGAGGCTGAGGCAGGAGTATCCGAGTTTGAGGCCATCTGGGGTTACGTAGCATATTAAAGGGCCAATCTGGACCACAGAAAAAAATCTGTTTTCTCTGGGCTGTTAGAAAGTTACCAACCAAATATTGTAAAACCTAAAAAAATAACCAGTATACCAACAGCACTGTTGCTTCTACTTACTTTCTTCAGCTCAGTTTCCATCATTTCTGTTTGCATGATAATGGACATAATTGTGCCCAGAAAGAGAATTGCAGCATAGATGAATCGAGTCATAGAGGAATTCTTTTTGGGACAGCAACCACACATTAAGCACGATGCACTGCCACAGAGGCATGGAACCTGTAATGAGAACATCATGGGCGACGTGAGATCATCTTATTGCAAAGATACCGGCAAGTAGAAGATGAGGCAAACCAGGCTTTGACAACTTCAACGGAAAGAATTACGTGGCCAAAGGATGGGCTCAGAGTCAACATTATTTCTGCATTTTATTTTAGTAGGTTACACAATCTAACACAACTTTTCCTTTTATTTACTTATTTTTATTTTTTTGTTTTTGAGACAGGTCATATTATTTAGTTCAAGATGTTCTTGAGTTTTCTATGTAGCCCAGGTTGGCCTCAAATTCACAGTGATCCTCCTGCCTCAGCCTCCTGAATGCTGGAATTATAGGCATGCACCACCATAACTAGCTAACTCAATATTTGCATCAGTAAAATGGACTCAATAAAAGAATTTTCCTCCCTCAGACTTACTGCCCTTACTGTTTACTAAGCCTTGTTCCCAAAACTGGTGTTGCAACACAAAGCAATATTACATGGAAACCCTATTATGCCAGTATCTTTTTTTTTTTTTTTTTTTTGGTCTTTTTCGTTTTTACCGGTACCAGGGATCGAACTCACGACTGCCTGCTTGCAAGGCAGGCGCTTTTGCCGCTGAGCTAAATCCCCAGCCCCATGCCAGTATCTTATTGAAGGTTTCTGCATCTACGGTCATTACAGAGTTTGGCCTGTAACTCCTTTTCTTAGTTGTGTCCTTCTCTTGTTTTGGTACCAGGGTAATGTTTGCTTCCAGTAAAGAATTTAGGAGATTGCTTCTCTTTCAATTTCACTAAAAAGTTTGAGTAGTGGTGGTGTTAGGTCTTCTCTAAATTTGTTGTAGAATTCAGCAGTGAATCCGTAAGGGCCTGGGCTTTTCTTTGTTGGTAGGTTTTTAATTACATCTTCAATTTCATTAATTGATATTGATTTATTTAGAACATTTATGTCTTCTTGATTCAGTTTTGGTAGTTCATATGCATCTAGGAATCTATCCATTTTTTCCGCATTTTCCATCTTCTTAGAATACAAGTTTTCCAAATAGGCATACATGATTTGGATTTCTGCAGGGTCTGCTGTAATTTCACCCTTTTTATTTCTAATCGAGAGGATTTGAGTGTTTCCAATTCCTTCTTTATTGATAAAGTTTGTCAAATTCTTTTTCTCTACCAGGGAAGTTTTCTGCCACGACGTCTGTGAACATTGTTTTTTTTTTTAAGTATCATTTGTGCTACCTCCTGCTTTTTCATTCACTTCAGTCAATCGTACATTTTCTTCTTTGCCTCATCTAGCTGCTGCTGGATTGATTTCTCATGGTCTCTTGCCATTTTTCAGAAATCTTTCTTTTCCTGATCACTAACTACAAGCTTGTCTTCTGTATCTGAGATCCTGTCCTCACACTGGCTTCATCTGCTGTGAATACTTTCAATGGAATTTTTATTTTCCTCTGCTTGAATCTGCCTTATGGATCTTTTCTTTCCTATGCTGAGCATTCATGGCTTCCATAATCTTCTTAACCTTGTCTATTTTTTTTTTTGTCTGTATCTGCTCAAGCATCACTAAACATCATCTTTACTGGACACCACCTCTGCAGTTATTTGAGAAATTATTTCTGATTTGTTTTTTCCAGAGCCTCATTCAATTGCTTTTTTGTTATAACTTCAGAGAGATCAGGTGGGAGGCTTTCAGATTGTCCCACTTCATTGACCACTGAGTCTGCCTTTGGTGAACTGGATGTCTGGGATCGCACTTTGTCTTCTCATATTTTTTATTATTATTTTAATTCCTAGGGCGATGCTTATAAATTGCCTACGGTGAGTTGTAGTATTGCTAATATTTAGAACCCTTCAGTAATAACTATTTCACCAAGGTACCTTCCAGGTATAGCTGGTTTTTGGGTTTTGAGTCTTCGATTTGTTGGAGATGAGAAGTTGCTGCTTGTTTTGCCTAGTCCCTGGTTCTTCGGCACTGTGCCACAGTAATTTCTATGATCCTTAGTCAATCTCAGTCATGGATTATCAGGAAGATACTGGCTATAGTGATACCAACAGCATCAAACATAGGCTAGAAAATGACAAACTGAGCTAACTATTAATTTGCCACTTTTAACCATATGAACTAGATTTGTGGTTTTATAACAAAATCTAAAACAAACAATCAAATTATATGCAGTATACAAGTCTTTAATATGTCAACTGTGTCCTCAGAGATTAAAATTTAAAATGGGTTAAAGAGATAACAGAGAAGTGGAAGAAGAGGAAGAGATTACAAGTAAGATTGGAGGACAAAGGGGGATCATGCTAACTTTGGGAAATTGGTGCAGAAGAATACAGGAAAAGAAAGAAGGGAAAGAACAGAACAGAACTATAACCACAAAGAGGATAGAAACCACATGCACACTCATATAAAAACAAGACTGAGAAATGAAGGAGGAAAAAAACTCACAATAGTAAAAAAAATTAGAAAAAAAGTCTACTTCCAGGTTTGTCTCTGCTGTCACTGGTAGATAACATATGAAGACAGAATCCCAATCCATGCCCATCTTTCCCAGCAAGCCAGCAGTAGCTATTTAGTGGGGTAGCAGATAACCTCAGCGAGCCTGCACTTTCTGTCCGAGAGCAGACTCATTCAACTCGCAGCCATTAGCACACTTTCCATGGGTCTGAGCCCAGCTGAGAGCTGCTAGATGGAGGTGGCGGTAGGTCTGACTCCTGAGATGAGCCAGCCCATCTCCAAGGTGACTCCTGGCCAATTGCTCGGTTGCACAAAAGGACTGAGTCCTCAGCACTCACTGACAGCCTGTGTAGTCCTTCACATCTGACGCTCCCCTCCTTTGCTGTGTCTCTCCATGGAGGCCTGTGGGGCCACAGGTAGTCACTGTCTGTCCACAGGTTTGAACCACTCCTCTCTCGTGCAGTGAGTCCCATCTCAGGCAGAAGGTGCTGCCAACTACCTCCTCCTTTTTCATTGAAGTTTGTGTTTTCATCCTCTCTGTGGGCTTCAACTTGCACTTCAGATACTTCCTGGGTCCAGATATTCCAGCATTTGAATAGCAACTCTCTGAGAGGCTCTTTCTCTGCCGCTGACCACTTCATCATCTTAGTGCTCAACGATTTATTTTGAATCAGTTTCAGAGGGTTCAGTCCACGGTCAGCTCCCTCTGGCAGAAGCATCACAGGAGAAGGGCTGAGAGGCAGCAAGCTTCTTATTTCATGGTGGATACGAAGCAGAAATCAGGAAGAGGAGAGGCAGGAGCCAGGAATCAGCCAGCTGTTTCTTACCATTTAAAGTTCTAAAAGGTTCACCATCACTGCTCTATGGTAATGAAAATGTTCTGGAGTTAGATGTATTGGTAGCACAACACTGCATTACTAAGTACCAATGAATTAAGCACTTCGTTTGTTTTATTTGTTTGTTGAGACAGGGTTCACTATGTAGTGCAGGCTCCCCTTGAATTCATGGTTATCACCTGCCTCAGCCTTCTGAGTGCTGGGATTACAGAGATGTGCAGTACCACACCCAGATAGATTACACACTATAAAATGGTTAATATACTATGTGAATTTTACTTTCAATTTTAAGAACAAAAAAAAAAAAGGTAATGTGGATAGCTAAAATCTCCTAACAAACATTCCAAAGAGTGGATGTAATTTGAATCATTCTTGTATACCTGCTTGATTAGTAAACTGCTTGGTTACTCTGAAAGGTGAGATTATCAAGTCATATTACCAGGATTAGTTAATTCAGAACTAGCAGAAACAGATGTAAACAATGGAAAGCTCTGGTCTTACAAAATCCAGAAATGACCTTTCTCTTTTACTTTGTCCTTGCACAAGTTTTTACTTTACCAGGGTTCTGTATGGTTTGAAACAAGCTGCTAACCTACTTAAAAGCCTTGTTATCTTATCTGCAAAAATGGGCAAAATACCACATACCTGAACAGGGTTACTGTTCAGAATGACACATCAGAATACAAAGCACATACCGTAATATTTGATTTAGACAGGACTTAGTACAACATGATAGCTATTTTTATCTGTAATTACGAGCAAAGAAAGTACACCCTCAAAATTCATATATTGAATTCCTAACCCCCAGTACCTCAGACTGTGACCTTATTTGCAAATGGAATCACTGTAAATATAGTTACCATAGCTAAGATGGGGTTATACTGTGGTAGTGTACAGATAAAACTAATATGACTAGTGGCATAAAAAGTAGAAATTTGAACATAAAGATTTGGACATAGGCTGGGAATCTAGCTCAGCAGCCTAAGCGCCTGCCTTTGATCATAAGTTCGATCCCCAATACAAAAAAAAAAAAAAAAAAAAAAAAAAAGATTTGCAACATAGGGAAAAGCCATGTGATGATAAGATAGAGATGTACAAGCTAAGGAATGTCAAAGATAAGAGAACATGGGATTTTATCAGTCACCAATCTCAGAAGGAACTCTCCCTGTGGACCCTAAATTCAGATTTACAGATTCCAAAACTGAGGGTCAATAAATTGTTGTTTAAATCACTTAATCTGTAGTACTTTGGTATATAGTCCTTGCAAACTAGTACACCTACTTACATTATGCTACTGTCATGGGGAGAAGGAGCAACATTAACATTTTATCTCTTGCACCTTGAAATAATAGGAAATTAGCAAATACTCGAACAAGAAATCTATCCTGCTGTACTTTTCCTCATTTCCTTACCTCACTAAAAGACAACTCTTTTTTGGCTGCTTAGGCCAAAAACCTGGGATCGTCCCTATTACCTTGCCCTTTTTCAAAATTCTCAGGCAATGTGCCTGTACATCACCACTACCCACAAAATATATCCAGATGCAACTCATATAGGAAATAAGTCATGGCTGGGGAAATGCATGGGATCTGTCGATTACAAGATCCTAGGGTGACCTATGTAGAACTTCCTTAGAGCTCCTACAAGACATGAACAGCACAGAAGAACACCAGATGCCACGGGCAGCCAGTATCCTGAGTTCCCATGACAGCGCCAGCTGCGTTTCTCAGAA